GCCTTTTCAGCCAAGTATTTTACCATTTAGCATTGCCTTTTTATTAAGGAAAGGGAAAGAGGTATAGAATTCTATGCCTTCCTTTTCTTCTTATTTTTCTAGGAGAACATTTAGAACCACACAGAATTTTGGGGGAGTTCTAGAGATCACTTTGTATGTACTAATTCTTTCCTGTTTCTTCATGCTTTAGAGAGGACTTTAAATTAATTGTTTTTCTGGAGCCAGCAAGATGGTTTACCAGCTACCACTAATCCTGACAATTTGACTTCAATCCCAGGGACCCACATGGTAGAAGGAGAGAACCAACTTCTTCAGGTTGTCTTCTGACTTGCACACGTGCTACGGCATATGCAAACACACACACACACACACACACACACACACACAATTTGAAAAATAATTGGTTTTTAGTTAGATTGTTGTAAGTAACAGTTTAGGAAGACTTGATTTACTCAGTGACTTGAATAAAAATGTACATCTAGACTTTTAAAATTCATTCTCTACAAATCAGTTTTATATTAAAGGGTATTTCTATTATTTTTATTGGGAAAAATTGTCATCACTATCTACCATCTGGGTTCAATGGGCCACTTTAATTTTTTTATATATTTTAAGTTAATTCACAAATAATTTACATAAAGGTAAAAGAGTTGCAGAAACAGCTATTTGATTTAAAAAAATTAGACATGGTATTCTTTTTTGTACTTATAAAAATGAAACACATCCAGGCATGGTGTTGCACACCTGTGATCCTGGCAATTGGGAGGCAAAAGCAGGAAAATCACTGCGAGTTAAAGGCTGGCCTGGTGTACATTACAAGTTCAAGCCAACCAGGGTTACATAACAAGACCCTGTCTCAGCGGGAGTAAGAGAGACAGTATGAAAGGGAAGGAGAGGGGAAGAGAAGAGGAGAGAAAGGAATGGAACTATAAACAAAGGCGAGTATGCATGTGGAAGTCAAAGGAGAGCTTGTATAGTTGGTTTTCTCCTTCCATTGTATGGGGCTCCAGGGATTGAACTTAGGTAACCAGGCTCAATGGCAAGTGTCTTTGCTCACTGAGCCATCTGGCTAACACAGCTAATGCATTTTAGGAGCTGAAACAATCTGTTTTCCTCTCTCAATCCAAAGAATCAAACCCAGACCCTAGTGCATGCTAAGCAAATGCCCTGTCACTGAGCTACATATCTAGCTCTTGATTTTTCAAGCCAGAGTTTCACTATGTAGCTCAGAATAGCATTCTCGAACTCATGATTTTTACCTTCTCAAATTCTGGGATTACAGTTGAAATGCCACCACATCTAGCTATAACCAAGATTTTTTTTTTAATTTTTAGAGAAAATTTGTAGAGTATATGGTATGAAAATTCAGGATATGACTTAAACTGAAATTCTTTTTTAATGAAGCTATTCAAAGTTTTGATCATTTTAATGTAACATTTGTTTGAAAAGGTGCAGAAAGGGCTGCAGGATGTTGCTTATGGAAAAGCACTAACTTATCACTTGTAAAGCTTTAAATTTGACCACCAACACCATAAAAATCGAAGCCCAAATACTTAGATTGTAAATTTCTGAAGAATAGGACCATGTTTTATTCTGTATTTTCCCCTAGAGTATAGAAGGTAATGGGGATTTGGTAGTAAATTAATCTATGAAGAACTAATTTTCTGTTACTTTTCAGCTAAAAAATGATGAAAATATATATGAGCAAAACATTTATATGTGTTTTCTTATAGTAATAATAACATTTATTTTTAAATTGTGAAAAATAAGTCATAGTTAAAGATGTCACTTATATTGAAATTCAGATTTACTAAAACATGGCTGGATAATTACCCGTTTTTATGTAGCCTTTTAATTTTTATTTCTAATTCTATAATTCATCCTATTTCTTCAAGTAGTAATTGCTTAAAATATTTATCAGTTTATTTGCTAAATTTACATTCACTCAGGAGTAAACCAATTTTGGAAAGTGAGATAACTATATATTACTATAGATTAGATGATGTGTACATTTAATTTAGTAGTCCCTATTTGGGGTGGGGTTACAGCTGTGAGCAGCCATGACTAGTTTTTTATATGGTACTAAGGCTTCAGAGTTAGGTCTTTATGTTTGCATAGAAAGTACTCGTACCCACTGAGCCATCTCCCCAGCCCCTAGTACTATGTATTTTTATTTTAATTTTTTATTATGCATTGTGTATTTGTGTGTGCAGGTGTGAGTGTGAGTGTGTGTGTGTGTGTGTGTGTGTGTGTGTGTGTGTGTGTGTGCATGGATGTATGCATGGCACATCATGCATGCAGTGATCAGAGGACAACTTGCAGAGAAGTTGGTCCTTTCTCAAACTAAGGTTTTCAGACAGCAGCACTTACCTTTATCGTGAGCAGTCTCAGCAGCTGATTTTCTAAGCACCTTTATTTTCTAAGTCCTAACTTGCTACCTTGTCAGGAGTTATATGATAAGTTTGCTCAAGATTGAAATTAGACCAAAGATTTCAGAGTCAAGTGTCATGGTTTTAGTATTTAGTATTATTTTGAACTAAAAAAAATTGATTGGCATCATGTGCTTTTTTTTTGTTTTCTTTCTTTTTTTTTTTTTTAGGATTTTTAAATTTTTTACGTACATTGGGGTTTTGCCCACACAAGGATGCCAGATCCCCTGGAACTGGAGTTACAGACAGTTGTGAATTGCCATGTGCGTGGTGGGAATTGAATCCGGGTCCTCTGGAAGAGTGGCCAGTGCTCTTAACCACCTTCAGCCTCCCATGTGCTTGTTTTTAGTTGGTTCTTCAGTTGGATAAAGACAACTGTTTTCACCACCACCAACAACAAAAAAATAGTTTCTGCAATTGATACTAGTATATATGGCTTCTTAAACTTACATTTATTTATTTTTTTTTTTTTTTTTTTTGGTTTTTCGAGACAGGGTTTCTCTGTGTAGCTTTGCGCCTTTCCTGGGACTCACTTGGTAGCCCAGGCTGGCCTCGAACTCACAGAGATCCGCCTGGCTCTGCCTCCCGAGTGCTGGGATTAAAGGCGTGCGCCACCACTGCCCGGCCTACATTTATTTTTTGTATGTGCCTGCAAACATGGCAGTCAGAGCACAGCTTGGGGACGGTCTTTCCTTCCACAACATGGGTCTTGGGAATCAAACATGTCATCAGGCTTGATAGCAAATGCCTTTTGCTGCCTGAGCCTTCTCGACAGACCACGAATGGTGTTTATATTGATAATCTTTCTTTAATAGGACTGCTGAGAGACATTTCGTGTTTACTTAGATTTACTTAGATTGATTAAAGTAACCCATATAGTAAAAAGTGAGTGATCTACAATAACAGTGTAAATAAATGGGCTAAGGTGATGGCTCCTTGGGTAAGAGTGCTGTTGTACTACCATGAGAATCTTGGTTCAAATCCTCAGAAACCAGGTGAAAAATCTAGGTGTGGCTGGGTTGGCATCTGCAATCCTAGCACTGGGTATAGGGGGCCAGGGAGATGTGGATTATTGGAGCTAAGTGGCAGCCAGCCTAGCTCCACATTCAGGGAGAAATCCTGTCTCAAGGAAATAAGATGGAGAGTGACAGAGTGAGCATGAGACTCTTAATCTCAGGGTCGTGGGTTCGAGCCCCACGTTGGGCGCCAGTTGCCCCGGCCAGCAGGGTGTCAACGGGGGCGACCCACCTGTGGGAGAGAATGAGAGGGATGGGGGAGACATGAGAGAAGACAGCAAGACAGTTTGTTCTGATCAAGCTGCAAATTTTATTCTCCTCAGCAAGGCTTATATAGCATGAGAGGGGGCAGGAAGGACCGAAGGAGTGCAGTACGTGCAGGTGAAGGGGGATGTGCAGGTGAAGGACTACGTGCAAGTCGTGAGGCTGCTAGGTGGTAAGGTCACTGGTCAGGGCCCATTGTTCTGTTGCTATGCTACCTGACCTGCCTGACCTGTTCTTTATCTTTGGGGGCATCTGGTTTAGGGTAGGGGCTTGTTCTCTGGCTTAGCTAGTACTTTTCCATGGTCCATGTTTGGTCTCTGACAACAGAGCAAGACACCTGAGATCTTCCTCTGGTTCTCATGGACACACACAGGTGCACATACATCACACACATACACACACAAATGTAAGGTAGGAATGAAATGTTAACTACTCATCCCCAAAGATAACTTTTATTTTTTAGGTTTGGTGTACATCATCACAATTTTCAAAATGATTCCTAAATAAGATACAGCTATGTTATTACATATTTTTCCAATTATAATATGTGAAATAGTATATTCAAGGATATATCTTTACATTATTGATAGAAAAAATATTCAATTAAATAGAGTTGGGGGCAAGTCCTGTGGGCATATGCCAAGTAGTGGGAGAGCTTGATCATATGATAGATGCCTTGATTCTTCAGTAGCAAATAATCACTCCTGAAAACATACGTATAAGTAACATTATAAAGGCTAAGCAGGTATTTAGAAATACATATGTGTGTGTGTGTGTGTGTGTATACATATCTATATATAAAACAAAAAATAACGAAAAAGAGGCCATGAATTTGAAAGAGCAAGGAAGGATATATAGGAGGGTTTGGAGGGAGAATAAGGAAGAGAAAAATTATGTAATTATAATAAAAATAAATAAATAGTTTAGCCAGGCGGTGGTGATGCATGCTTTTAATCTCAGCACTTTGAAGGCAGAGGCAGGCAGATTTCTGAATTTGAGGCCAGCCTGCTCTGTAGTGTGCCAGGAAAGCCAGAGCTGCTACACAGAGAAACCCTATCCCAGAATAAATGAATGAATGAATGAATAAATACGCGGATAAATAAATAAATTTAGGAGGCAGAGTTTCTCTATATAGTCCTGGCTGTCCTTAAACTCACTATGTAGCTGTCTGCTTCTGCCTCAGGAGTGCTGGGATTAAAGGCATGTGCCAGCTGAAAAAAATTCAAAAAAATTTTTTTTTAATTTTTCTTTTTTATTTTTTTTAAAATTTCATTTTACATACCAACCACAGTTCCCCCTCATCCCTTCTCCTGTTACCCCCTCCACCTCCCCCACTAGTCACTCCTCCAAAAGGGTAAGGTCTCCCATGGGGAGTCAACAACTGACAACCATCTGTCCAGGTCATCTGCCCAGCTTTTTCGTGGGCTCTGGGATCTGAACTTTGATCCATATGCTTATACAGTAAGTACTGTATCCGCTGAGCACTTTCCTTTGATTACCCTCCATTTCCTCTCAGTGTGTGTGTGTGTGTGTGTGTGTGTGTGTGTGTGTGTGTGTGTGTGTGCAGGCCTGTAGCATTTAAGGAGGTGAGAGGACAATTTGTCAGAGTCATTTCTCTCCTACTATGTGGGGTACTGGTACTCAAATTCAGGTGGTCAGGCTTGGTGGTAGGCATCCTTATCTACTGAGCCATCTTGCATGCCCTCTTTTTTTTTTTAAACTAGGGTCTCATGTATTCCAGGCTATACTGTAACTTTACTCACAATTAGCCAAGTGTTATGGGACACTGTGTTCTCTGGGAATGACATAGCCTTTACCTTCTTGAACTGTCAGCAGCTATGATTTCCTGAAGGAGACCTCCACAAAATTGGATCCATTAACTTTTCTTCACGGAATGGGAAAGGGGCTTATGACCCACAGGATTTATAGACAGTTAACAGTTACTAAAGGAGGGGGCTTGTGAGGCCACATCCTTCCCCAAAGTTTTATAGGCAGAAAGATGCTAGGGAGAGGAGCTCATAAGGCCTCTTCCTCCCGCAAAGATTTATAGGCAATTAAATATTGATGGGATTGAGAACGTGAGATGGCTCAGTGGGACCAAGCCTGATGACCTGAGTTCAGTCCCTGGGACCCACATGGTGGAAGGAGGGAGAGAATCAGCCTACTGAGTGATGCCCTCACAAATCAGTGTGAAACAAAAAAGTTGGCAAGGGAGGGGCTCAGTTAACAATTGCTAAGAGGAGGGCTCATGAGGCCTGCCCCTCCCCAAGGAATTATAGACTGTTACCAGTTGCACAGTTGAGGTTGGCAAGAAGAGGGCTTGATGGTTTTCTAGACAATAATTACTAGGGGAATGAGCTTCAGAGGCCAGAGATCTGGCCAGGATCCCTAAACAATAGGGGAACAGGTTCAGGGGCCCCAACCCTCTTCAAGACTTACAGGCAGTTGTTTCTGGGGGAAGGGTTCATGCCTGTCTCCAAACAGACAGAAAGCTTTTGCATGGGGGGAGGGGCTCAAGAGACTACTTGCTAGGTGCAGAGACTTTTTCTTCAGTAGTGAAGCCACCCTCCATAAGTTGCTCATGAGCTTGTAAATAACCCCCAATTAAAAAAAAATCTAGAGGCCAGATGCATGTGCCTTTGATCCCACTGCTCCAGAGGCAGAGGCAGAGGAAGTTGGATTGAGTTCAAGACCAGCCTGATCTACATAGCCACTGCTAGGCCAGCCAAGACTATCTATAAAGGAGAATGAGAGGGTTAAATAGGGATGAGGAAGGAGCTGGGGAGAGGAGAGTACAAAAGGATGTATAAAACAAAAGAGGAAAATGGGGGGGTTGGACAGGGGTAGCAGGGTAATTGGGAAAATTGGGAGGGGTGAGAGTCTACTTAAATACACATTGTTTGAAAAAACATAGTAGTACTGCTATCTAATACTTTGTATGCTAATTTAAAAAAACTTCATTGGTTCACCAAATTACACTTGCATTCCATTGGTTCCCTGTCTGGAGTGAGTGGACACCTTGTCTGGGTGCATAGACGTTTTTGTTCAGGAAAAAATGTTCACGAAACACTTAGGATGATCTTAAACTGCTGATCTTTCTGTCTCATCTCTACAATACTGAGATTGTTGCAGATGTGTGCTTGGTTTATATGGTTCTAGGAATTGAATCCAGGGCTTTGTACATACTGGACAAGTACTCTATCAGCCGAGAGACATCCCTGGCCTTTTTTTCTATTCATTTTTTTTCCTGGAGTTTTCATTAGATGACTTTGTACATTTAAAAATTGTATTTCTGTTTCTAGCTGAGCATGGGGGCATATGCCTGTAACTCTAGCATTTGGGAGGCTGAGGCATTATTTTATTTGTGTGTGTGTGTGTTTCAGTTCCACATATACTCAACTTTTACTTTTAGGAAACATTTAGTTAATGTCACCTGGTTTATTTTTAATCATTTTCTGAATGTTATTGTTTCTATGCTTAAATTTAATTTTATTGTTATTGGTGTGTGTATATTCTGTGTGTGCACACATGTCATAACACACATGTGGAGGTCAGAGGATACCTTTTGTGAGTTTTTTTACCTTCCACTTTTTTACATGGGATCAGGGAATTGAACTCAGGTCATCAGCCTGGTGCAGTAGGCACCTTTACCCACTGAACCACCTTTCCAGCCCCTATTTACTAAATTTTGTCAAATCTCTAGAAGATTCTCATTATATAGTCTTTAATATTTTCTCCTCCTCTGTATTATCTGTTTTGTTTACAGTCTTTTAATTGGTTTTATTGCTTTGGTCTTTCACATTAGAAGCTTTCCTAAAATTTTTGGTGCTTATTAGTTATGCATATCCATTTTTGTTATTTTTTTCTTAATAGACTTTTAAAGATATATTTATTTATTTTACTTCATGCGTGTTTTGCCTGCATGTATGTATGGGCACCATGTACTTGCCTTGTGCTCTCAGAGATCAAAAGAGTAGGGGTCAAATCCCCTGAAACTGGAGTTACAAGTAGTTGTGAGCCCCAATGTCAATGGTGAGATATGAACCCAGGTCCTCTTGCAAGAGCAGCAAGTGCTCTTAACTGCTGAGCCGTCTCTCCAGACATTTTGGTTTTGCTTTTTGTTGTTGCTGTTTTTGTTTTGAGACAGGTCCTTGGCTAGCCTGGAACGCACTGTATAGACCAGATTTGCCTTGAACTCAAAAAGATCCACCTACCCCTGCCTCCTGAGTGATGGGACTAAAGGTGTACACCACCATGCCTAGCTCATCTCTATATTTTAAGAATGTGGCGGGGTTGGGGATTTAGCTCAGTGGTCGAGCGCTTGCCTAGCAAGCACAAGGCCCTGGGTTCGGTCCTCAGCTCTGAAAAAAAAAAAAAAAAGAATGTGGCACTGAGCTGGCATGACAGCACACACTTGTAATCCTGTCACTCAGGCTGAGGCAGGACAATTGTGAGTTTGGGGCCAGCCTGAGGCTCCATAATGACTTCCAGGACAGGACAGCCCAAATTACATAGAAAATCCCTATCACAGAAACAAAACAACAACCCCAAAGGAGTGAGGCACTAAAATGTTTGTTATGAGCTGTGTGATTATGCAGAACTGGTAGTATTTGCAGTACATCCTTTGTTTAATTTCTTGGGATGAGAAATGTCTACTCTACCCTGGAATAGAATAAACTTCTCCATTTTCCCTGTTTTCATGCTAGTATCTCATTTTTCTTTGTTCTGTACCCTAATATCTCTGAATCTGATGCAGTATTTTCCTTCTTCCAATCTAATTGCCTCTTATTCTTGGTTTATATACCTTTTTAAAATATAAGTGATGGGTTATTGTTTCAGGTAATGATTATATATCCTTTTTATAAGTATAATCATATCCTAGTCATGTAACATGAACTTAGTTTGATTGGATTTGATCTTAAATTTTTGGCCACCTGGGGCTAGAGAGATAGCCTATCAGTTAAGAGCACTGGTTGTTCTTCCAGAAGACCCCACTTTGTTTCCCAGACCCCACATGGCTACCAAAAAACTCCAGTTCCAGATGATCTCACCTCTTCTAGCTTTTGCAGGTATCACATGCATGTGGTGCACAGACATACATGCAAAAATGTAAAGCAAAAATCTCCAAGAGAAAATTTTGGCCACTGTAACTCAACTGCTGTCCCCAGTCTTCTAGCTACTTAGCCATTTTTTACTAGATTTGTTTTGTGACAGGGCTTCATTGTGTAGAGCAGGCTGGCCTCAAAAAATGCTATCCTGTTAACTACAACCTCCTGAATGAATGGTAGGTAGAGTGGCAGGCCTACACCACTACACTGAGCTCCTAGTTTAGATATTGCAGATTGTTTTCTCAATTTATTCTTGCTATGATATATGTTATGTAGTTATTCAGTTATTCAGTAGTTTCCTTTAGGATTATTAAAGTTTACCTTTAATTCGCATACTTCCTATTACAAAAAAGTATTTTTCCTTTTGAAAATAAGGGTTGTTTCTCTCCTTTTGGAAATTAGATAATTCAAAAATGGCAGAACTTTTCATGGAATGTGAAGAAGAAGAGTTGGAACCATGGCAGCAGAAAGTAGAAGAAGTTCAAAATAAAGATGATGATGATGAGTTGATCTTTGTTGGAGAGATATCAAGTTCTAAACCAGCCATTTCAAGTAAGCATTTATTTCAGTGAAGTTTCATATGATGCTTGTTTGTTGTTGTTGTTGTTGTTTTTGAGTGGGAAAAACCTGTGACTTTTATTTTTAGTATTTGATGTATATGTTCGGTACAGAGCTTAGATGAAAAGCAAGGTAGGGCTAGGGAAATGCACTTGCCATGCAAGCTGCAAGGACATGTACTGGGATTTGGATCCCCAGAAGTCATGTAAATGCCAACTGGGACTGGCAGCCTTCCTCTACTCCCAACTCTTGGAAAGCAGAGACAGGGGCATCCCTGGAAGGAAGTGACTGGCTGGACTCTAGACTCATTGGCCAGCTCTGGATTTAATTCTTTGCCTCAGTGAATAGAGTGAAGAGAGATTGAGGAAGACCCCAGCATCATGATGCTTTGGGCCCTCTACAAGCACATATGCCCACACAGGTGTGGACATGCATGTACACACACATACATACACATAACACCGAAAAAATTTAAAAAAAAAAAGCAAGGTAAAGGTCAGTAAGAACTTAAGATGTTCATGGGAGTGATGTGGTTGGGACACAATAATGAAGGTGAGAGGTTAAAATATCATGTGTAAGAAAAGGGGAAATAATTAAGTCAACTAAGGATTAAGTTTACCTGACTGCATTATAGGGCTTATATGATAGAGATCCTACTTTTAAAATATTTTATGACATACATTTTAGTGCATGTGTGTGTGAGAAAGTGTGTGTGTTTGTGAGAGTCTATGAGAGTATGTGTGTGTGTGAGAAAGAGTGAATGAGTGTGTGTGTATGTATGTGAGGGAGTGTATGTGTGTGTGTGAGAGGGTGTGTGTGTGTATGTGAGAGAGTGTGTGTGAGAGAGTATATGTGTGTGTGAGGGTGTGCATGTTTGTGTGTGAGAGAGAGTATGTGTGTGAATGTGAGAGAGTGTGTGTGTGAGAAAGTGTGAGAGAGTGTGTGTGAGGAAGAGAGAAGGTGTGTGTGAGAGAGGGTATGTGTGTATGTGAAGAGAGAGGGTATGTGTGTATGTGAGATAGAGTGTGCGTGTGTGTGAGAGTGTTTGTGTGAGAGAGAGAGGGTGTGTATGTGAGAGGGTGTGAGAGAGTGTGAGAGAGTATATGTGTGTGAGAGAGTGTGCATGTGTGTGTGTGAGAGAGGGTGTGTGTGAGAGAGGGTGTGTGTGAGAGAAAGAGTGTGAGAGAGTATATGTGTGTGAGGGAGAGAGGGGATGCATGTATGTGAGGAAAGGGTGTGTGTGTATGTGAGAGTGTGTGTGTGTGTGTGAGAGAGAGAGAGAGTGTGTGTGTTAGAGAGTGTATCACAGAGTGTGAGAGAAAGTGTGTGTGTGAGCGAGTGTGTGTGTGTTAGAGAGAGAGAGTGTGTGTGTGTGTGTGTGTGTGTGTGTGTGAGAGAGAGAGAGAGAGAGAGAGAGAGATGTACATGTACATGAGCTTGCTGTGGCATGTGAGTGGAGGTCAGGGGTCACCCTGCAGAAATGGGTTTTCTCTCTCTACCATATGGGTCCTGGACATCAAACTTAGCTTGTCAAGCACCTTTACTTACTGATCCATCTCACCAACCCCCCTAGTTTGTTTGTGTATGGGGGGGTTCCTTTCATTGAAAATGTATATTTTTCTCACATCATATATCCTGATTATGGTTTCCCCTCCCTCTACTCCTCCCAGTTCCTCCCCACCTCCTCTTCCATCCAGATCCATACCCTTTCTGTCTTTCATTAGAAAACAAATAGACTTCTAAAGGATAATAATAAAATAAAGTAAAAATTAAAAAAAACTCTAACACATCATAATAGGACAACATAAACAAACAGAAGGAAAGGAGCCCCCCACAAAAGGCACAAAAAACATATAACTGTAGAGACCCACTCTTTCACACACTTAAGCATCCCATAAAAACATTAAGCCAGAAGCCATAATATATATGCAAAGGACCTGTAAGATAAAAAGAGAGAAGAAAAATATATACATATATATTAAATAAAATAAAATGAAAATGAAAAATAAGATACAGTTTTAAAAAGAAAGAGCCCTGAGACGACATTATGAAATAAGGAACCTCCAAATATGTGTTGAGTTCATTTTCAGGGCTTACAGCCTAGTCTTAAGAGTAGTTAGTTCCCCCAGTGAGACTCTCTAAGAGAAAACTTAATTTTCATTTGCAAGTGGTTGTCAATTGGAGAATGTTTCTGGGTTAGTGGTGGTAACATGTATCCACTTCTCCTTCAAGCTCTAGGACTCCATCTGATGCAGCCCTGTGCAGGTCCTGTGCATGCTGCCTCAATCTCTGAATTTATATGTGCATCAGCCTTGTTGACTTAGAGGGCCTTGTTTCCTTGGCGTCCTCCATCCCCTCTGGCTCTTACACTTCTGCCTCCTCTTCCCAAGGGTTCCCTGAGTCCTGAGGGGAGGGATTTGATGGAGACATTCTGTTTAGGGCTGAGTGTGCCAAGGTCTCTCATTCTCTACATGATTCTGGCTGTGGGTCTCTGTATTTGTTCCCATTTGCTGCAAGAAGAAGCTTCTCTGATGATGGCTGAATAAGGTACTGATCTATAAGTATAACAGAATATCATTAGGAGTCATTTTATTCCTATACTTAATTATTTGTTTGTTTGTTTGTTTGTTTGTTTGTTTGTTTGTTTGTTTGTTTGTTTTAGAACAGTAGTATTTGGTTTTACCCTAGGTCCCTGGGCTGTCTAGTCTCAGATTGTCACCCAAGCAGTGTCAGATATGGGTTCCATCTTAAATCAAATCAGGTATTGTTTGGTTACTCCCACGAGCTTTATACTACCACTGCCCTAGCATGTCTTGCAGGCAGTACCCCATTGTAGTAGAGGGTTTGTGGCTGGATTGGTGCTAGCGTTTGTCTTTTTAGAGCATGTCTGTACCAAAGACATTGGAATGTAGGGGTGAAGGCTCTATGAAGGCACCAGCTCAACAACTCCAAGTTCAATGAGTTGTGTAGGTGTTGTCTTCAACTATGAGGCCTGTTGTCAGTTTGCAAAGAGCAACCTTTTGTATTGGCAACAGCCTGGGTTATCTGGGGATTCCCATGGGACCCTTTTGGCCAACAACTCAATTAGATATAACCCAGTCCCAGTACTGGAAGCTTCATGTGGTGACAAGAGATACCCAGTTGTGACTCTGTCTCATCCATTATTTCGTAATTTCATTAGATTACTATAGTAGACTCCCCTAAAACTCCTCAAATGGCCCTTGATTTTAGCTGTCTTTTCCCATATTTTCTCCCTCATCCCCCACTACCCTCCCAATCCCTACTTGATCCTCCCCATTCCAGTTCCCCCATGCATGCATAACTATCTATTTCTCTTTCCTTATTAGTCTGTGCTCCCACCCCCAGTCCCTTACCCCATACCTAACCTCTGTGAGTTTATGGATTGTAGCTTAAATAACATTGACTTAAAAGCTAATATCCACATATAAGCAAATGCATACCATATTTGTCTTTCTGGGTCTGGGATACCTCGCTCAGGATGATTTTTTTTCTAGTGCTATCCATTTATCTGCAAATTTCAAGATTGGATTTTTTTAAACAATTGAATAATATTCCATTGTGTAAATGTATCACATTTTCTTTATCCATTCATCTGTTGAAGCATCTATATTGTTTCCAATTTCTGGGTGTTATGAGTATGGGCATGGTTAAGCAAATGTCTCTGTGGTAGGATGAAGTGTCCTTTGGGCATATGCCTAACAATGGTGTAGCTGTATCTTGAGGTAGATTGATTCCCATCTTCCTGAAAAACAGCCACTCTGATTTCTATGGTGGCTGTACAAGTTTGTACTCCCACCAGCAATGGAAGAGTGTTCCCTTTATTCCACATCCTCTCCAGCATGAGCTGTCACTTGATTTATCAATTTAGCCATTGTGATAGGTGAAAATGAAATCTCAAAATAGTTTTGATTTGCATTTCCCTGATGGCCAAGGATGATGGACATTTCTTAGTGTTTCTCAGCCATTTGAGTTTCCTCTATTGAGAATGCTCTGTTTAGATCTGTACCCCATTTTTAAATTGGGTTATTTATTTTCTTGATATCTAAATTTTCTAGTTCTTCATATATTTTTCATATTAGCCCTCTATTGGATGTATAGTTGGTAAAAAAAAAAAAATCTTTTCCCATCTACAGGCTGCCACTTTTTCTGAATGACAGTGTCTTTTCCATGGAGAAGCTTCTCAGTTTTATGAGGTCCAATTAACTAATTGTTGATCTTAGCACCTGTGCTAACAGTATTCTCTTCAGAAAGTGCCAATGAGTTCAAGGCTAGTCTCCGTTTTCTCTTCCATCAGGTTCAGTGCATCTAGATTTATTTTGAAGTCTTTGATCCATTTGGAGTTGAGTTTTGTGCAGTGATGAGTATAGATCTATTTGGATTCTTTTATCTACAGGCATCCAATTTGACCAGCACCATTTTTTGAAGATGCTTTCTTTTTTTCAGTATGTATTTCTGGCCTCTTTGTAAAAAAAAAAGTCAGGTGTCCATAGGTGTATGGATTTATGGCTGGTCTTCAATTAGATTCCATTCATCAATATGTATGTGTTTGTGCCAATACTATGCTGTTTTTATTACTATACCTCAGTAGTTCAACTTGAAATCAGGGTCTGTGATACCACCAGAAGTTCTTTTATTGTACAGAATTGTTTTAGTTATCCTGAGCATTTTGTGTTCCCATATGAAGTTGAGAATTATCTGCTCAAGATCTGTGAAGAATTGTGTTGGAATTTTGATGGGGATTGCATTGAATCTATACATTGCTTTTGGTAGGATGGTCATTTTTACTGTATTAATCCTACAGATCCATGAGCATGGAGATCTTTCCTTCTTCTGATATCTTCTTCAATTTCTTTCTTCAGGCTTTAACATTTTTCTCATACAAGTATTTCATTTGTTTGGCTAGAGTTATTCCAAGATATTTTATATTATTTGAGGCTATTGTGAAAGGTGTTGATTCCCTGATTTCTTTCTCAGGCCATTTATCATTTATATATAGGAGGGTTATTAATTTTTGTGAATTAATTTGTGTTCAGCTACTTTGCTGAAGGTGTATATCAGCTGTAGGGGCTTTCCAGTAGAATTTTTATGGTCACTTATATATACTATTATATCATCTGCAAAATACTTTGACTTCTTCCTTTCCAGTTTATATCTCCTTGATCTCCTTTAGTTGTCTTATTGTTCTAGCTAAGACTTCAAGTACTATATTGAATAGGTATAGAGAGAGTGGATGGCCTTGTCTTGTTCCTAATTTTAGTGGAATTGCTTTGTTTCTCTCTATTTAAATTGATGGACTTGCTGTAAATTGCCTTTATTATGTTTAGGTATGCCTCTTTTATCCCTAATCCGAGTACTTTCATCATGAAGGCTGTTGGATTTTGTCAAAGGCTTTTTCAGCATGTAATAAAATGATCATGTGGTTTTTGTCTTTCAGTTTGTTTATATGGTGGATTACATTTATCGATTTGCATATGTTGAACCATCCCTGCATCTCTGGGATGAAGCCTACTTGATCATGCTGGATGATCTTTTTGATGTGTTCTTGGATTCAGTTTGCAAGTATTTTATTGAGAATTTTTGCACCTATGTTTATAAGGGAAAATGGTCTGTAATTCTCTTTCTTTGTTGGGTTTATGTGGTTTGGGTATCAGGGTAAATGGCCTCAAAAAGAATTGGGCAATGTTCCTCTGTTTCTATTTCGTGGAAAAATTTGAAGAGTATTGGTGTTTACTCTTCTTTGGAAGTCTTGTGGAATTCTACACTAAAACCATCTGGGTCTCAGCATTTTTTTTTTGGTTGGGAGACTTAATTACTGCTTCTATTGCACTAGGGATTATAGTTCTGTTTAAATTGTTTATCTGACATTGATTTAACTTTGCTAAGTGGTATCTATTAAGAAAATTATCCATTTCTTTTAGATTTTCCAATATAGTAGAATATAGGTTTTTCAAGTATATTTTTATGATTCTCTGGATTTCCTTGGTGTCTGTTGCTATGTCCCCCTTTTCATTTCTAATTTGGTTAATTGAGATATTCTCTTCACTTTTTAGCTACTTTGAATAGGGGTTTGCCAATCTTACTGATTTTTCTCAAAGAACTATTTGTTTCATTGACTCCATTTTTTTGTTTCTATTTTTATTGATTTCAGCCCTTAGTTGATTATTTTTTGCCATCTATTCCTTTTGAGTATAATTTTTTCATTTTGTTCTAGAGCATTCAGGTAAGTGACTAGTGTGAACTCTCCATTTTTTTTTAATGTAGGCACTTAGTGCTATGAAATTATCCTTAGAACCACTTTCATTCTGTCCCATAAGTTTGAGTATGTTGTATATCCTTTTTTGTTCAATTCTAGAAAGTCTTTCATTTGTGTCTTGACCCATTTTTCCATTCAGTAGTGAGTTGTTCAGTTTCCATGAGTTCTTAAGTTTTCTGTTGTTTTTGATATCCAACTTTAATCCATGGTTATCAGATAGGATGCAGTGGTGTTATTTAATTTTTTTGTATCTGTTAAGACTTGCGTATGTCTGAATATGTGGCTAGTTTTGGAGAAAGTTCCATGATGTGCTGAGAACAATTTATATTCTTTTGTGTGTGGGTGAAATGTTCTGTAAATATCTGTTAGGTTCATTTGATTTATAAAGTTAGTTAGCTCCTGCATTTCTATGTGTAGTTTTTGTCTGGATGCCCTGTCTATTGGTCAGGTAGGGTATTGAAGTTTCCCACTATCAGTGTGTGAGAGCCAATATGTGATTTAAGCTGTAGCAGTATTTCTTTTATGAATTTGGCGCTTGTGTTTGATGCATAGATGTTGAGAATTGCAGTGTCCTTGGTGGATTTTTCCTTTGATGAGTATGTAGTGTCCTTCCCTATCTCTTCTGGTTAGCTTTAGTTTGAAGTCTATTTTGTCAGATATTAAAATGGCTACACCAGCTTGCTTCTTAGTTCCATTTGCTTTGAATATCTTCTTCTATCCTTTTACCCTAGGTGATGTCTATCCTTGATGTTAAGGAGTGTTCTTTGGATGCAGCAGAAGGATAGATCCTATTTTTCCATCCATTCTGGTAGTCTATGTCTTTTATTGGAGAATTGAGACCATTGATGTTGAAAGATATCAATGAGCAGTGTTTGTTGATTTCTGTTATTTTTTTTTTTTTTTTGGTTTTTTCGAGGCAGGGTTTCTCTGTGTAGCTTTGCGCCTTTCCTGGTACTCACTTGGTAGCCCAGGCTGGCCTCGAACTCACAGAGATCCGCCTGGCTCTGCCTCCCGAGTGCTGGGATTAAAGGCGTGTGCCACCACCGCCCGGCCTGATTTCTGTTATTTTGTTGTTGTTGTTGGTGGTGGTGGTGGTGGTGGTGTGTGTGTGTGTATGTCCTCTTTTGATGTGCTGATCTGGGATTATTTATTCTTTGTGTTTTCTTGGGTGTGGTTAACCTCTTTAGGTTGGGGTTTTCCTTATAGCACCTTCTGTAGGGATGGATTTGTAGATAGATGTTGCTTAAATTTGGATTTATCATGGAATGTCTTTTTTTCTCCATCTATTGTGATTGATAGTTTTGCTGGGTATAGTAGTTTGGGCTGGCATCTGTAGCCTCTTAGAGTCTGTAGACTATTCAGACCCTTCTGGCTTTTAGAGTTTCCATTGAGCAGTCAGGTGTCATTCTTATATGTCTGACTTCATATATTACTTGATCTTTTTCCCTTGCAGCTTTTAATATTCATTCTTTGTTCTCTAGGTTTAGTGTTTTGATTATTATGTGCCAAAAGGAATGTTTTTCTGGTCCAGTCTATTTGGTGTTCTGTATTCTTCTTGTACCTTGATAAGATATCTCCTTTAGAGTAGTGAAATTTCTATCCATTATTTTGTTGAAAATATTTTCTGTGCCTTTGACCTGTGTTTCTTCTCCTTCCTCTATTATTATTCCTAGATTTGGTCTTCCCATAGTGTCTCAGATTTCTTGCATGTTTTGTGCCAGGATTTATGTTTAGATTTATTTTTAGATTTTCTTTGACCCACGTATCTATCTCTTCAATTGTGTCTTTAATGCCTGAGATTTTCTTCCATCTCTTGTATTCTGTGAGGCTTGCTTCTGAGGGTCCTGTTCAAATTCCTAAATTTTTTCATTTCCAGATTTCCCTCAGTTTGGGTTTTCTTTATTGATTCTATTTCCGAGTTTTAACTCACTTGGTAGCCCAGGCTGGCCTCGAACTCACAGAGATCCGCCTGGCTCTGCCTCCCGAGTGCTGGGATTAAAGGCGTGCGCCACCACCGCCCGGCCTATTTCCGAGTTTTATTCATTTCCTTCCAGTGTGTTTTCATAGGCTCTTTAAGGAATCTATTCATTTCCTCTTTAAGAACTGCTAACATATTAATAAAGGCTATTTTAAGGTCTATTTCTTATGCTTCAGCTATGTTGCAATATCCAAGGCCCATAGTGGGGTCGCTGAGCTCTAGTGAAGAGACATATTGTCCTGGCTGTTATTGTGTTTTTATGTGGGTGTCCAGGCACCTGGGTTTGGGAAGATTGTAATTCTAGGTGTTGATATCTGTTCTTGTCTTTGTTGGGTGCAGGTTTTCTTCCTTGATTTCTTTTCCTCTGTCTGTTTTGTTTGTTTTAGTTTGTTTTTTCAAGACAGGGTTTCTCTGTGTAGTCCTGGCCTTCTCTGGTTCTTATTGCCAGGTAGGGAATTCTTCTGGAGTCTTGATTGGTATGGCCACTGAGGGTTCCAGGTAAAATATGTTTCTAGATATTGAGATCTGATACTTAGGGAATGGGAATGGGCTAAGCGAGTGGCAGGGGAATCCCACAAGAGGATGAAAGCAGTGTGTACCACCAGGATCTGCTTAGTTCTCTGGGAATGGTGGCAGAGAATGCATAGAGGCCTGTGTAGAGGCCCTCAGATGGTCTGCTACAGAGCTGGGGATAAGACTGGGGCATTCAACTTGGATGAATAGAGGGAAAGGTGAAGATTTTCAGTTAGCCCATCTTCCCTGGACAGAGTGCACCCCCTAGTTTTTAAAGAACTCAAGTATCCTGTTAATTCTTTGTCTTTTCTCCTTTTAGTTCAAATGTGCAGAACAAGAAGTATTTGGAATGCTTAGATTGTTTGTGTCTGAAAAGGATTCTCATATCCAGATAACTGCTTCATCATTTATACAGTTTTATCAGAGGTAGAATGATGGAGTACAAGTTGTAAGATGAAATAAACCCTTCCCTCTCCAAGTTGCTTTTGGTCATGGTGTTTTATCAACAGCAATAGAAACCATAACTTAGATATCACCTTCTTGTGATAAGAAATTTTAATCAAATTTTAAAATTCTAAATTTAAATATGATTCCTCAGTAATCAGAAAATTACATTCACACAGGGACAAGAGATAACAGTCTGAAATGATCTAAGAGTATCCTGTCAGGCCCAAATTGACTTCTAGAGTAGTGTATTTAACCACTGAAACTAATCAAATAATAAAATCTAGGTTTGACTTACTCTGTTATCTGATAATTTTCCTTTCAGAGCTCAAGTAATGATATTGAGAATCATGAGATAAGCAATCCAGTCAGCTGGTCCATAATGAAACTTCCAGACATCTAGAGGTGTAAAATGTGGCATGAGGATTGGGCATGGGCTTGATTTTTGAGTAACAAGAACTTGAGTCTTAAAATCTTGTCAACATTAAGAGGAATAAATATATTTCTATCATTGGTTGTGTATGTCTATTTTTAGACAGTTTTCCATTATCTTACTGTGTTTCGTTTCAGTAATGAGTTTTTAAATATTCTTGTAGATATTTTGAACAGATGTAGCCCTGGCTCATCTTCAAAGGGACTAAAGAATGACTCACTCAATCCAGGTACAGTATTACTGTACTGTCTTACTACTATAGATTTGTTTAATTGTTTATTTATGGGTATGTATTTGTACCTGTGTGAGTTTTTTGTGCACCATGTATGTACAGGTACCCATGAAGAGCAAAAGAGGGCATTGAATCCCCTGGAAACGGAGTATATATACTATATGGTTGTTAAACACCTGACATAGGTGCTAGGAACTGACCATGGTCCACTGCAAGAGCAGTGGGTGTGCTTAATGGCTAAGCCCTTACTATTCATTTTAAATTCAACTATTTGACACAGTTGTATACCAATATGTTCATTATATATTTTTTTTTACGTATAGCTATTTCAAATATATTCAAGCCTGCAAATCGACACTATAGAAATCCATCACCTAATCCAGTGGCTGCTTTGCCTAGATTTCATCCTGAATCCAAATCTTCAGAGAGTTCTGGTATTCAGACTGTGTCTAAACCTGTAAGTATTTTTTTAACTTCACAGTTAATTCAGAAACACATTGGATAGTATATATCCAGCTAGAATTGAAAATGGTCATAGCTAAATACCATAGCTAATTACCCAAAGAAAATGTCATTATCTTAAGGTTTTCTTTCTTTTTAAAAAAAAAAAAAGATTTATTTATTACATATACAACATTTTGTCTGCATATATCCCTGCAGGCCAGAAGAGGGCACCAGATCTCATTACAGATGGTTGTGAGCCACCATGTGGTTGCTGGGAATTGAACTCCAGACCTCTGGAGGAGCAGCCAGTGCTCTTAACCTCTGAGTCATCTCTCCAGCCCTAGGTTTTCTTTTTTGTTTGTTTTTTTCTAGAAAGGGTCTCACTATGTATCTCTGGCTGTCCTAGAAATCACTATGTAGACCAAGCTGACCTTAAACTCAGAGATATCCACCTGCTTCTGCCTCCTGAGTAATGTGATTAAAAAGCATGAGCCACCACACTCAGCTTCATTTTTAAACTAAAATTATTTCATTGTGTTAAAGAACACTATTATGCTGACACAATTATATAGCAATAAAATCAATATATTTTGTGATTTTTATATACAGCTTTTCCCGGTATATTAAAGTCAACACTACAAATCCAGTGGCTACTTTACCTAGAATTTTTTGTATCAAAGTCTTGACTATCCCCCTTTGCCTTTCCCAGCCCCAGTAGCCCATATTCTACTCCTAGTATTTGACAAAGAAGCCAAAAACACATCATAGAAAAGCTAGCATCTTTAAGCAATGGTTCTGGAAAACTGGATATCCACATATAGATGATTGAAATTAGACCCATATCTATCACCCAGCACAAAAATTAACTCAAAGTGGATCAAAGACCTCAATTTGCAACTTGAAACATGGAAACTGCCAGAAGAAAATATAGGTAGTACCCTAAGTGATACAGGTATAGGAAAAGACTTGAATTGAAAAGTGGGACCTCATAAAACTAAGAAGCTTCTATCCAGCTACAGAAAGAATCAAGTAACGAGGAAACACACAGGAAATCAACTTTTTAAGAGAGTAAACTTAGGTGTTCTTAAATGGGACGATTATTCCAACAAATCATGGCTGTTTATTCTCAAAACCCTTTTCATTGTTTAGTTCTTAAACATTTTAAGCCAGCATGGTTGTTACCATGCCTGTAGTCCTAGGACTTGGGGAGCTAAGGGCAAGAGGATTGGGAGTTTGAGACCAATCTCCTCATAATGAGTTCTAGACTAGACTGGACCACATAGTGTGACTCTGTCTCACAAAACAAAATAACCCCCCAAGTAGAGCAATAACAAAAGACTTTTCATAGAAGTAAGAATTAGTGGTAATTCTTAACATTTGGAGGGAAGCTGTTAATATGTGTAAATGTAATTCTCATATAATCCTTAGGACATTCCTGTGAGGCAGGCTATTATTCCCAATTTATGGTTGAGGTGACTGAAACTCAAAGAACATAAATGATTCTCCAAAGGCCAGCTAGTAACTAATAGACATGGGATTTCAAACCATATTAACCCAGAGGTTTATACACATATCTGATCATACATTTCAGTACATACTTTTAAAAAAGTTATGGGTCACCACTGCCCAGCTGATTTAGGTAATTTCAATAGCTGTCTTTAGAATTATTAAGTCTATGTGTATGTATGTACACCATGTATGTGTTTGGTACCTACAAAAGCCAGAAAAGAGTGTCACATCCCCTGGAACTAGGGTTGTATTCAGTTGTAAGCCTCTATGTGGGTTCTGAGAACTGAACCCAGGTCCCTAGCAAGAACAGCAAGTATTCTTATCCACTGAGACAGCATCTCTCCGGTCTCTGTCTCTGTAACTTCCTAACAAACTTATATGAAAATTCAGTAACAAAGCCAGGCATGCTGGCATATGGCTGTTACTAACACTCAGGAGACTGAGACAGGAGGGTGAAGAGGCCACTCTCTTCTACATAGTCAGTCCCAAGCTATGCAAGGTTATATTGAGAAACCCTGTTTCATCTCCTCTCCCTCAATTAAAAAAAAAATATTTAGTAAGAAAGTAAAATTCTTACAACCTAATCATCTCTCAACTTGAAAACATAAAACATGCAAACAAAATCTTTATGTTCCTATTGTGAAAGTTATGTATATGAAAAGAATTAGAAACAAGGAAATATATTTTATGTTTTGATTTTTATTTTCTATAGATAGTATAGTTTGCCATTCAGGACCATATTTACCTAGATTTGATAACTATTCCTCATCTTTCACTGAATATTGTATTGAAAATATATTTCTTTGTCATTCATTGTGTATTCCTCAAAATTATGATGATGCTTAATCGTCTGTCAAACTTATTTAACTGTTCTGTTGGTGAACACACAGGTTTTCATATTTTGCTATTATAAATACTCTGTTAACATTTTCATTTCCTTAACACAAATTCTTAGAAGTGGAATGATTATATCAGAGGATAACTACTTTTTGTGTTGTTTTTGTTTTTTTCAGACAGGGTTTCTCTGTGTAACAGCCCTGGCTCTCCTGGAACTTGCATTGTAGACCAGACTGGCCTCGAACTCACAGAGTGCCTCTGCCCGCCAAGTGCTGGGATTAAAGGTGTTCGCCACCATCGCCTGGCTGGACATGTATTTTTGAAAGCCTTTAGTAGATGCTGCTAAAATATTCTTGCAGAAAAGTTATACCAAAATGAAACCTTGCTAGTGTTATCACTTTTTTTATTTTAACAATTTTTACAACTCATTTTTAGTTTTCCAGAAAAATTACAAAAATAATGAAGAATGCCAATATGCTTCTCACCCAGTATGAGCTCATTTTAGCAGAGAGTAGTAATTGGATTTGTGTTTTCTAACTTGTCTTTGTAGTACTAGCATCCAGTTTGGTTTACATTTCTAATAATTGACAAAGTATCTTTAATGTTTTACAGAGTTTTTCAAAGACTTCATCACAAGATGATCCAGGTGCTTCTTCTGTCTTACAGTTAGACTCAACCAAGGATACACCACCCTCCAGCATACTGAAAAAGAGTACAGAAGGTTGGATTTAGTATTTCTTCTTAAAATCTATAAAAAGAGACTTTGTTAATGTTCACATAGGATTTCTATACAGGGCCTGAAGATGGCTCGGCAGGTAAAGGTGCTTGCTGCCAAACAGATAGCCTAAGTTGGATCCCTGGAACCCACCTTGTAAAAGCAGAGAGTCGACTCCATGCCATGCACAGATGCACATTAAATAAACAAATTAATAAAGATTTTAAAAGCCAGCAGGATGGCTCAACAAATAACGGCAATTGTCGCCAAGCTTGATGATCTGAGTATGATCTTTGAACCCACAAGATAGGAGGCTAGAACTGACTCAGGCAGGTTATCCTCTAACTTCCACAAATACACCCACATACATACACACATATATTTTTAGCTCTCTTCTGATCCCGGTGCCTTCATGTTATTTTTGCATATAAGATGGAAATAGAGCTGGTCATTCCTGAATGCTTTTCATGTACAATCTTATATTATTTAATAATAGACTATTTTAGACTATTTTCTTTCTTTCTGTTAGTTTAGCTGGTGTGTGCTACTGGAACTTATTCTCCCTTCCTTTCTTCCCTCTTTTCTTTCTTTCTCTCCTTTGTTCTTTCTTTCTTTCTTTCCTTTTTTGACTTTTCAAGACAGGATTTCTCTATGTAGCCCTGGCTGTCCTGGAACTCAACCTGTAGATCAGGCTGGCCTCGAACTCAGAAAGCCTCCTTAGTGCTGGGATTAAAGGCTGATTCACCACCATACCTGGCTGAGCTTATTCTCATTTAGAACTATCTGTGAGCTGTGAAATCTTAATATAATTTCTGTGAATCAGAGAAGTCACCTGATGTCTTAAATACTCTGTAACAAATGTATTTGTTATTCAGAGACCATTAATTTATGAAAATTGCATAGCTTTAGTTTATTTCTTAGTAAACTTTCTATATAATAAATGACATATACACATGAGATAGTTAAATGTGATACTTGAGTGGTATGACAGGACTAAAGAGATAATGATTTGCATATGACTAGTACATACCCATTGAAGGAGCAGAAATTGGACAATTGAAAGAAAACTCATTTTTGAAATTTTTTTTTACCATGACAAAATTCTTCGTAAATGTAGAATAAATTAGTATGATAGTGGAAGAATGTTGCCTAGATAAAAAAGGAATTCCCTATAATGGAATAAAGTAGCTTCTCTATTAGCTAACTTGATATATTTCACTAGAGAGGGACATAATTATCTTTTGAATTTTTACTTACTAATAAGCAGTATGGTACATTTTATCAAATGAATGAAAAGGGATTTAGTGATTTGGGCGACAAAATATTTTCTCATTTTGCTAAATAAATACTTCATTTGATATTAACCTATGTCCAGGTAGCAAAATAGACAGGGAAATGAAATAGTTGTCTTAAATTTGATTTTACTAAGCACATGATCTCATTCCTAGAACAAGTCTCAATTTGTGAAGCTTCTAGAAGTCAAAGATAGTAACTCCTATTCACTATTTAAAGATTTCCCACTGGGTGTGGTGGCACATGCATGAAATTCCGTCACTTGGGAAGTGGAGCCAGAAGGCCCAGGAGTTTGAGGGCCAGTCTTGGCTGCATAGCAAGTTCAAGGTCAGCATGGGCTAAGACCCTGTCTCAACAGAAGGGTCTTAAACTGTAGAGGAGAGCTTTGTCCTGAATAATAGACACTGTCAAAGTTGGAGTAAAAGATACAGGTTTAAACTTCGGTTATACAGATTTGTGTAGGCTTTATCAAGTCACCTAACTTCTTTTTTTTTTTTTGGTTTTTTGAGACAGGGTTTCTCTGTGTAGCTTTGCGTCTTTCCTGGGACTCACTTGGTAGCCCTGGCTGGCCTGGAACTTACAGAGATCCGCCTGGCTCTGCCTCCCGAGTGCTGGGATTAAAGGCGTGCGCCACCACCGCCCGGCGTCACCTAACTTCTTACACTTCACTTTTCTCACATTGTTAAAGTATCATTTTATGTTTCTCATATAATACATTCATTCTCTGGACCAAATATGAGCCATTTGGAGATAATGTTACTCATCTTAGAATTTTACTGAGTTTGGAAAAATAAGAAAAGTGAAAGCTGTTTTATAAACTTTAAATGGTTTATTAAAGTTTACCATAATAATTATAAATATGTGATATGTTTGAAAGCACATCTTGTCTAGGATGACCATAGAAGATTCTTAGGGAAAATTAGATTTGAGCTTGAATTTGAAGAAGAGAAATAGGATTTTTATGAGAATAAGATACTTGTTTTTTTAGCCAGGCATGGTGGTGCATGCCTTTAATACCAGCAGAGACATACACATTTCTGTGAGTTCAAGGCCAGTGTGGTTTACACAGCAAAGTCCAGGATAGCGGGAGCTACAAAGTAAGACTTCATCTCAGAAATTAATTAATTTCAAAAAGGTTCTTTTTTGCCAGGCGGCGGCGGTGGCACACGCCTTTAGTCCCAGCACTCAGGAGGCAGAGCCAGGCAGATCTCTGTGAGTTCAAGGCCAGCCTGGTCTACAGAGCAAGATCCAGGATAGGCACCAAAACTACACGGAGAAAAACCAAAAAAATAAAAAAGCTTCTTTTTCATCAATTTATTATTGGACAATTTCACACATGTATGCAATGCATTCTGACCACATTCATTCCCTCCTACCCCATACCTGTCACACCCCCATCAACCCCCTAGTCCTCTAACGAAGTCCCCATCCCACTTTTTGTCTTTTTGTTTGTTTTTGCTTTTGCTGTGTGATCCACTGGATTTAACTAGGTCCACCTGCTCGTTTTTATTTGTGTAAATAGGAAGACTTGAAAGTAGGGAATAGCAAAGACCAAAAGCAAAGAAAATTAATAACTTGAAGGATCAGTATTTAAAACTCATTATCTCAGAGTAATTTTCTTGAATTGAGATATCCCTGTGCTTCACAAGTTATTTATTAGGAGGCTGGTGAGATGGCTCAGTGGTTAAGAGCCCTTGCTGCTCTTCTGGAGAACCTGAGCTTGGTTCCCTGCACCCATGGCGTGTTAGGCAGCTCAAAACCACCTGAAGCTCCAGCTCCGGGAGATCTGACACCTTCTTCTGGGCTCTGAAGACATGTAACATACATTCACAAAGATGCACCAACATGCATGTACGGTGGTGGCGCACGCCTTTAATCCCAGCACTCGGGAGGCAGAGCCAGGCGGATCTCTGTGAGTTCGAGGCCAGCCTGGGCTACCAAGTGAGTTCCAGGAAAGGCGCAAAGCTACACAGAGAAACCCTGTCTCGAAAAACCAAAAAAAAAAAAAAAAATAAATCCTTAAACCTTATATATTAAAATGGTCTATTTTTATTACCTAGCATATTGTGTAATACTACCTAGTGCAAAATGCCAACATTTATTGATTATTCAAGTGACACAGGAATCTTAAAAAACATTAAAGTAACGAAACCAAAGTCAGTTTCAAGTGCTGGCAGTAATCAATCATTCAGTAACCATAGCCTCTAATGATAGGGAAAAGAATTCTGTCATCTCAAAAAAATGAAAAAAAACATCATAATTTGACAGAGGAGTCTCTTACTTTCCAAGAATATGTCTCCTGCTTCTCCTGTGAATGTACACTTGAGAGCATTAAACTATGTATGGTTTTAGAGCCTTTGTCACAAAGTACAATTTATTTTGAGTTATTTTATAAAATAATTTTTTGGCATAAAATAATTTTTCCTGTGTCTGTGCCTCTTTCTCAGACAGATACCATGGATTATTTAATCCTTTGCGTGCTAAGATGATAGTTTTCAAACAGAACTTTCTCCCAAGGAAATCCCTAGTTTTTAAATCACAAAAGTGAGATAAAACATAAAAGGAATGGCCCTGTCTGAAATGCCCTTTATATCTAATTAACTTGGGATAGTGGTTGGTAGGCCATTGAAGACATTCCAGATTTTTTTTTTTTTTTTGGTTTTTCGAGACAAGGTTTCTCTGTGTAGCTTTGCACCTTTCCTGGATCTCGCTCTGTAGACCAGGCTGGCCTCGAACTCACAAAGATCCACCTGCCTCTGCCTCCCAAGTGCTGGGATTAAAGGCGTGCGCCACCACCGCCCGGCAAAATGAGTATTTTTTAAGTTTGAATGTATTTAATCACCAAAACATAAACTCATTTATAAGAACTTAGCTCAGAGAAAGTTATCTACCTTTTATTTCTCTTTCTTTTTTGTTATATTGTTGTTGCTTTAGGTTTTGTGGGGTTCGTGCTTTTTTTTTTCCCTCAGTCTGCCTCCTTTAATGGATAGCTTTATTTGAAAGTATCTTTATAGTTTTCCTGCATCAAGTTTATTTTGTGAATCTAAAATATATATGATCCAAAGAAGCTGCTTCCTTGTATAGTTTCTGCTTTCTTATTATATAATTTTTTCCATTAAGTTGGCTCCAAGGCATTTTTACTAAATTTTAAATCTAAGGACATTTTTATAGCAATTCTAAAAAGTAATATTCTATACTAAAGCACTTGTAAATATCTTTCCTGATGTTCAAATCTTTGTAGGTATCGATCAAGCTTCATTAGGATTAAAACATCCTTCTACTTCCAAAGTAAACAGTGTTAATCCAAAAAAGCCAAAGACCAATACAAGTGTTTCTGAAGCAAGTCCTTCCTCTCCATCATCTTCAAGCAATTCTCCTTCAGAGGCTTCCTCCCAGCTTACAGTAGCAAGTAAGTATGACATCTCACATAGAACAATTGATTAATTAGAAACAAATTTTAATAACTGTGATGGATTTTTTAAACATATTTAAGTTTTTTAAAAGATCAATTTTTACTCAAAGTCCTCAATTTATTTTAGATGAAAATACCTCATCAATTCAGTCTGAAACTGGAGCCCCTTCACTAAGATCTTGCCCAAAGTGCAGTGTGAAGTTCAGTTGTTTGGATCCTCTGAAATGCCACATGAAGGTAAAATAGTTTCAAATTCTGAGTTTTAAAAATGTTTACGAATCAATGAAATATTAAGAATAATAGAGAGTAAATATTTGTTTGTCTAGATATTTAAATAATAAAGCTCCTTTTATTGTCATTTTCATATGAGTAAAAAATTAATTTTCATAATGATTATACAAAATTTAAATTCTTCCCAATCATGAAATTATAAAACTTAAGTTCATCATACACACACTGTAGTATGTGTGCATTGCATTTTAATTTTAATTGAAAATTAATAAACCATTGTATTTTATTGAATAAATAATGCCATTCTTTTTACTTCTCATAAAGCAGGCATTTTGTTAATCTTTTTTTAAAAGATTTATTCATTTATTATGTATAGTGTCCTGTCTGCATGTATGCATGCATGCCAGAAGAGGGCACCAGATCTCATTACAGATGGTTGTGAGCCACCATGAGGCTGCTGGGAATTGAACTCAGGATCTCTGGAAGGGCAGCCAGTGCTCTCAACAGCTGAGCCATCTCCTTAGCCCCACATTTTATTAATCTTAAATATAACTTAAAATGTCCTTCTATTTTACTTTTTCCATGTTGTCATATTTATTTCATATTTCTCAATGGAAATCTTAGCTTTATGTCATAATTTTCCACAATTTCCTAATGGAACATTTCTTATGAAATGATAGTTTTAACTCAATCCAGAATAGGATATACAGAGTTATAAATGAATTATAGCTTTATATTGGTATTTCAAGCTCCTGAACTTAGGTTTTACATAAATTTGAAGCTACTAAGAAAGTATGGGATTTAGAGGGATTTCTACTTAAAGTATGTTACCAGATAATATAGTATTCTGTTGTATCTTCGTAAAGAGTAAAGTCTTCTCTTTGCCTGCCCTGTGTAAATGGCAGTGAGGAAGGAGGAGAAAAACAGTAAGATAAGTAGGATAGGTGATATGTGGAAAAGAAGGATAGGGAGAATGCAAAGAAGCATCTTAGGAAAAGGTTCTGCTCACTGTTCCAAAGGCAGATGTTTATTAAATCCCACATCTTGGAGAAAAGTAGAGGGGTGAGAATGAGTTCTCAAAATTTCAAATACAAATATCTATTCTGGGAGCAAAACTGATATTGGATGTTAGTCCATCTTATCTCCCTGAGCATGTGAGAATAGTGAATCCAGTCTCACATCCTCACATCATCAGTTCTTTCTTTGATAAATTGGCAGTTCTATTTTGTATTCTCTTTAGGATATAGCGCTCTCTCTCTCTCTCTCTCTCTCTCTCTCTCTCTCTCTCTCTCTCTCTCTCTCTCTCTCATAACTTCCCTGGCATTTTAAATAAAGTATCCTTTTTGCCTTGTTGCTTAATGCATTCTGGCCTCAATTCCATTTTAATTTACTTATCTAGTCATTTACTTATTACTTATCCTTTATGTGTAGAGTGTATGGATATGTCTGTGCACATTTATGTGTTTGAGTGTAAGTGTGCACTTCTTGTGTACACATGTGGAGATCAGAGGACAACCTCAGGTGTTAGTCCTTGCTTTCTACCTATTTAGAGACAGGGTCTCTTTGTTGGTGGTAGCCGTGTATGCTAAATTCTCCTATCTCTGCCTCCCATCTCTCTGTAGTAGCACAGGGGTTACAGACATGTGTTACCATGCCTGGCCTTTCTCGGTTCTGGAGATCCAAAGTCAGGTTCTCACCCATGTACAGAAAATGCTTTACCCACTGAAGCATTTTCCCAACTCTCATAATCTTTATTTTCTTGTTTCCATTTGCTTGCTAAATTCCTTTATTTATTGATCTATTTATTTTTGAGACAGGGTCTCTATGTAGCCCTGGCTGTTCTGGAACTTGTTATGTAGACCATGCTAGCCTTGAACTCACAGAGATTCATTTGCCTCTGTCTCCCAAATGCTGGGATTAAAGGCATGAGCCACCTTGCCCAGCTACTTGATATATTCTTTCTTTCTTTTTTTTTTTAAGATTTATTTATTATGTATACAGCATTATGATTGCTGGCAGAAGAGGGCACCAGATCTCATTACAGATGGCTGTGAGCCACCTTGTGGTTGCTGGGAATTGAACTCAGGACCTCTGGAAGAACAGTCAGTGCTCTTAACCTCTGAGCCATCTCTCCAGCCCTACTTGATATATTCTTATTTTATCCTTTTATTTTCAATATTTCCAAAACCCTTTATTGTTTATGTTTCTAATTTTTGTCTCTGTTGCTTTTTCTTTCTAACCCTATGTGAAAACTCCTTTTCCTTCAGGAGTTTAGCTAAACCTATTTGCAGTCACTGATGTAAAAGATTTAACTGGTAGTACAGGTATGTGGACAGAAGTGAAACTGTAAGCACACACACTTTTAGAAACTTCCTACCTGCCCATTTTGCATTTTCTGTGATAACAACATGAAATCTATCCTCTTAGCAAAATTTTAAGCATCCAATTAAGTGTTGTTAGCTATGCATATTAATGCTGTACAGTAGATCTTTAGGGCCTTGAATAACTAAACCTACATATCCATTGAGTAATAATTCCCCACTTGCCTTCCCCAGATCGTGGCACTCAGCATTCTACTCTTTGTAGTTTTATTTAGACTATTGTAGATTTCTCATGTAAGCGTATTCATGAAATAATTGTTCTGTTACTGACATATTTCACTTAATATAGTATCTTCCAAGTCTATCCATTTTTGTTGAAATAGGTAGAATTCCCTGCTTTCTTAAAGCTGAATAATATTCCAAACTGTCTCTACAGCACATTTTCTGTTTCATTTGTACATTAGTAGACTTAGATTACTTTCATGTCTTGGCTATGAATAATTCTACAGTGAACTTGAGCCTGCAGCTTTGTCTTTGATATCCCAAATTAAATTGTTTTAGATGTATACCCAGTGTGACATTGCTGGATCACATAGTTGTTATATTGTTTTTAGGAACGTCTATATTTTTGCATAGTGGTTTTACTGGTTTATAGTAATATGCACAGTGTAAAAGAATTGGCTTTCTCCACTTCCCTTTTCTCTTTTAGATAGAGCCATCCCAATGAGGTGAAACCTCATTGTATTTTTGACGAATTACTGATTTCGAGTGCTTTTTCACATATCTATTGTTCATTTTGTATGTCTTTTTAAAAAGAAATGTCTTCTCAGTCCCTTGGCCTTTATTTATTTTCCAAATCTTTATTAGAAAGTTTAAATAATGAGAACTAATGAAAAAAGTGAGGAAAAGGTCAAGCATCCAGTAGTTAGTTGTTCAGTGTCAGCAGTCCCAATCTGGTGCTGAAGTCCCAAGTCTAGAGAGCTGCTGGTTTGTAGTCTACATTGGAATCCCAAAGAACTGAGTTCTAACACCAGCGAAGGAACGACTCAGGAACAGGATCGATGAACTGGCCAGTGAGAGTGAGGGGAAGAAGGCAAAAAGCCAAAAGCTTCTCCTATGTTCTTTTATGTGGACTGCTCCCAGAAGATGTGACCCAGATTTAGGATGGGTCTCCACCTCCAATGATCCAACCAAGAAAAATCCCTCACATGTGGGCCTAGTTGCTTGGGTTTTAGTTAATTCTAGATTTAGTCACACTGACAAGCAAGATTGGCCCTCACAGTCAGTAATGTAAAATTCTTTCATAAATGGCCGATGCTAAGCCAATCAATCATGATTTTATGTTTTAAATACAGAATAGATAACATTTACTGAAATTTAATTATATGGTCATTTTCTTCTGAAAACCATCTGTGTCTATTTTTAGTTGGTTTAGGATATTTTTAATGTTGTTGTTCGTTATTGCTGTGCTACTGAGTTCTAAGAATTCTCACAGTTGTTTTCTAACACTTTAAATAAAAATGTGAATATTCAACAATTATAAGAATTCAATGATTTGCAAATATTTTTCCTGTTTTATTTTTGTTCTCCAGTTACTGTTTTAAAGATTTATTTTTTTTATTTTATGTGTTAGGTGCTTTGTTTGCGTGTATGTCTGTGCACCCCTTACATGCCTGATGCTCCTGGAGGCTAGAAGAGGCATTGGCTCCCTTGGGACTACAGTTACACACAGTTGTGATGATGTGGGTGCTCAGAATTGAAACCCAGGTCCTCTGGAAAAGTAGCCAATGCTCTTAACTGCTGAGCCACCTCTCTTGTCTGCTCCAGTTGTCCTTAGAGAATCCTCCTAGAGAAATTCTACCACTGAAAATTATATATAATAAAAAATTATTTTTTTCAATGAGAAAAAACTTAGGTGTGAAAAGTACTCTACATTAGAATCAGTTTAAGTGCGATTTTGATTTTATTTGAGGTAAATTTCCCCCGTGAAATATTTAAGTGTTATAGATAGAATGCATTGAGATTTTGAGGATATAACTGATAAATCTTTCTTTGTGGGACATACATTATCTAGTGCCTTATATTAGGAGAATGACATATCAATTGTGCTCAGAAGTCTGGTTCCAACTATGCTTTACAAAAATATTACTATGTCATTAGGTAATTAAGCTTCATACAGAATGATATATAACTTTTAAGTTATATCTTGACATTAATATGAAATGTATGTTTTTTTGTTCAAAAAGCAAATTAATAAATCTTACTCTAAAAAGAAAAATTACAAGGTAATTTAAAGTTTAAAAGTCTTCCATTCATTTTGAAAGTTATTTCTTTCATAAAAATAGTGGTGTTTATTGTTGGAATTTTTGCAGTTTATAATGAAGGAGGCTAGTGTATTTAGTGGATGTCTTCCCATTACTAAGCATAGCTTTATATGATCTAAACCTGTTGTAAATATTGAACTCATTTTTGACATCTGATTTTTTTATAAGAGGTACAAATAAAATATACTATTTCTCCACTTTTAGCATTGCTGCCCAGACATGATAAATAATCTTCTGGAGACTCTTAAGTCAGAACATTCAAGGGCTGAAAACAAAGCTAACATTGACTCGGATAAAGAAAAATTGATCATGCTAGTTAGTGATTTTTATTACGGAAGACATGAAGGAGCTATTGGGGAAGACCTGAAGACTCACACAACTTTTAAATGCTTCAGTTGCTCCAAAGTTCTTAAAAATAATATTAGGTATGTAAATATTTCTTTTTGTTTGAAAATTAAGAAATGATGATTTGCATCTTGATCTTTTCATATAAATGTTATGGTTTTTTTCTTTGCTATCCTAGGTAAACCATTGTAACACTTCTACTAAGAAAGGCTATTCATTATGCTGAAAATTGTACTAGACTTTTTCTTTTGTGCCACCAACCAGCTCCCAAATCATGACTTGGGGACTTATTATTAGTTTTAAGCGCTCGACCTAGCTTTGGCTCTTTTCTGGCTAGCTCTTTTAACATAAATTAACCTGCTTCTCTTTATCTCCCTTTGCCTCGGGGCTTTTTATCTTTTCTTTCCTTCTGTATATTTTACTTTCACTGTTTCTTGTCTCTGGCTGCCTGGCCCTGGGCATGGCCCTCTCTTTCTCCCTTGGTCTTTTCTCCTTTTTCTTCTTCTCTCGTCCTCCTCTCGTATTTATTCCCTCTGCCCAGCAGCCCTGCCTAGCCCTCTCCTGCATAACTATTGACCGTTCAGCTTTTTATTAGATTAACCAGGTGCCTTAGGCAGGCAAGGTGAAACAGTAACACATCTTTTTCATAATTAAACAAATGCAGCATAAACAAATGTAACACACCTTCACATGGTTAAAATAATATTCTGTAGTATAAATGAATTTAAGACATCTTTGCCCAGTTAAAATAATATTTCAGAACATAAAGTTTTTATTTTTTCTTGTATTTCATAGTGATAACTGGATCTACCCAGTTATAATTTTTTTCAGATAGCTTAAAAAAAGACAATAGTATTTACTGTAACTTAGGAAAAATGACATATATTCTATTTGTCGGAGTTACTTAATTATTGTTGTGATAAAACACTATGACCAAGGCAACATATAAAAGAAGATATTTGAATCAAACCCAGGTCCTCTGGAAAAGCAGCCAGTGCTCTTAACCACTGAGACATCGCTCTAGCCCCAAGAAAATAATGTTATGTTACCTTCTGATTACACGGTCCAGTGAGGGCTGAATTCCCCCCCAGGTCAATACTACATATTTGTAGCAATAAAAATCACATGGGTGGTACGTGTCTTTCGTCCCAGCCCTGAGGGGGCAGAGGCAAGGGGATCTGTGCCCAAAGTTCCAGACAGCAAACAGAAAGATTTCTGTACCAATTTTTACTTTCAAGAATAGAATTACCCCTAATTTTAAAGAAGTCCAGGCAGGGAGTTGAGCTTCGAGGTGTTGCAGGGCCTTGTGTGGTCTTAGCCACAAGCTGTTCCTAAGGCTCAGCTGGGACAGACAACTGGGTGCTCCATTGCAGTAGTAACACAAAGAAGTTTGGGTATTAGCTGCTCTGTCCCTTTCTGTCATTTGAAACATCAATGAGTCAGGGATCGGCCACTTACCTAAAAGAGCTGAAGAGTCAAGATTCACTTGAGGGTAAAGTAAGACCTTACAGAGTTCAGGTACCTATATATCTACACCAGGCCCTTGGCAGAGCTACACCAGGCCATCACCACAGTTACACCAGGCCCTCAGCAGAGTTGAGCTTATTGTTTCAGAGTCAGAGCCCATGATGGTAAAGCAGAGGCATGGTATCAGGAACAGCTGAGAGCTCATATCTTTATTCACAACTAGGAGGCAGAGAGAGATCAAGACACTGAGAATGACCAGAGTCTTTTGAAACCTCAAAGCATGCCTCCAATGACACATCCCTTCTAACAAGGCCACACCCCTAATCCTTTCCCAACAGTTCCACCAGTTGGGGGAACAAGTATTCAAACATATGAGCCTTTTAGGTCCATTCTCATTCAAACCACATTCCAATCTGTATTAGTCAGGGTTCTCTAAAGGAACATAACTGAAAGCATGAATATATACATCTATATCAAAAGGGGAGTTGTTAGAGTGGCTTACAGGCTGTAGTCCAAGTAGTTCAACAGTGGCTGTCTTTTGATAGAAAGGCCAAGGACCTGGTAGTTGTTCAGTCCACGAGACTGGATGTCTCAGCAGTTCACAGTCTGGTGCTAGAGTCCCAGGGAAGTCCTAGAGTGCTGCCAGTCTTCAGTCTTTGTTGGAATCTAGAAAAAGTAGGTTCTAATATCAGCAAAGGAATGGCTCAGGAACAGGATAGATGAACTTGGCAGTGAGAGTGAAGGCAAGCAGGCAAAAAGCATAATCTTCCTTCCTCCATATCCTTTTCTGTAGCTCCCATCAGAAGGTGAGTCTTCTCACCTCAAATGATGCAGTAAAGAAAAACCCTCATGGATGTGCTCTGCTGCTTAGGTTTTAGTTGATCCAGATGTGGTCAAGTTGATAAACCAAGATTAGCCTTCACATCCCTATATTAGTTTTCTTGTTGTGTTGAATCTTACATTTCTTTAGTAACAAGAACTACTTTATCCTGCCTAGTATCCTCCATACTAGTCTTATTTTCAATATTAGCTCAAATTTTTATACTAGCTCAAATTTTTTTCCACTCATATTTATAATCTCAGCATACTTATCTCAGAGAAAAAATGTTTTTTTTAATTATCTTCTTTAGAGAAGTTCATGTTTTATACAACATGTCTGCTTTGCTTTTGTACAATTTTGATAACACATATACACAATTCCCAGTGGAGTTCTAAAGGTTTTCCCAAGACAAGTCCTCACTATATACCCAAACTCATTATGGAGACTAGGCTGGCCTTAAACTCTGAGATGTGCTGCTTCTGCCACCTGGTTACGGGGTTAAAGGTGTGCGCCAACATGCCTGGTTGCAATTCTAAAGATTTTATAAATTTTTATCTTAAAATGTAAGAACTTACATTTTATTATCTGAGTTACATGGCGTGTTGAATGTTTATCATCATAAGTAAGATAGTAACAGAAAAAATAACAAGCCAATTGACTGATATTTTCATTGCTTTTATAGCCTGGTGTTTGTGGTAAGTGACTTTGTTTCCCAAATTTGTGTGTGTGTGTGTGTGTGTGTGTGTGTGTGTGTGTGTGTGTGTGTGTGTGTGAATTTTCTTGATATTTATTGTTAATATTTCTGAGATTTTTCTAGAGAAAACATTTTTGAGACAAGTTCTCTCTATTTTGTAGCTCTGGCTGTCCTGGAACTCACTATTGTAACCTAGGCTTGCCTCAAATTCACAGAGATCCACCTGCCTCTGCCTCCCAAGTGCTGGAACTAAAGGTGTGCACCACCATGCCTGGCTTAGAGAAAAAAAAAATTGAGACAGGCTCTCACTATACCTGTGACTGGTCTAGAACTCACTATGTGAACTAGACTGGCCTTAAAATGACATCGATCTGCCTGCCTCTGCTGTAATCCTGGGTACTGAGTTTAATGATGTGTACCGCCATGCCCCACTAGAATTTTTTTGTAACTGTAACCTAGTAGACTGCTGAAAACCTGATCTTTTATTCATTCTTTCATTCTATATATACTTATTAAATTACCACTATTTGTAAGATTTGGGCTATGAGCTCTGTCAAATACAGACATGAGTCTAGTAAAATCTTCACCTGGCTTGTAGACATTATAAAGACTATACAGTACAGCTTTAGGAATACTAAAAACCAAAGTATGGGGTAGTAGCCTTCTTCTGGTCTTTTTCGTTATTTGAGAATTTTATACATGCATATAATACATTTGATCAACTCCACCCCATTCCTTCACCCTCAATACTGCCCCACCCCCCATACTTTTCCCTCCCAAGGTCATTGCTTTTTTTCCCTTAAACCCACTCGAACCACCTAGTGCTGCTTGGTGTAGGGTGTTGGTGCCTTGCACTGGAGCATGAGCAATCTTTCAGAGACCACATTTCTGAAGAAAACTGACTCTCCTCTCCCAGCAGCAGCCATTAATTGTCAATAGTTTCTCAATTAGAAATGAGACTTCATGAACTCTTTCCCAATCCATGCTGAGATTTTGGCTGGTTTGATCTTGTGCAGGCCTTGTGCATAGTCACAACTACTGTGAGTTCATGTGTGTAACAGCGCCATTTTCCCAACACTTTATAACAAAATTGTTTAAATATTCAACAGTGTCAAAAATGTTTTACAATGAGCATCTATTTACCATATTGATTTTACCATTCACATTGTACTATATAAATCAAATACATTGATTTTTGTGTCTCTTACAGTTTTATTATATATAGCCTAAAGATTCACCTATATTTTTGTTGTTTGTTTTTTCCAGACAGAGTTTATCTGTGTAGTTTTGGTGCTTGTCCTGGATCTCACTCTGTAGACCAGACTGGTCTCGAACTCAGAGAGACCCGCCTGGCTCTGCCTCCTGAATGCTGGGATTAAAGGCATGCACCACCACCGCCCGACCTTCACCTGCATTTTATATTAACATGTGTCTTACTTTGGGTTTCTATTGCTGTGATGAAACACCTTCACCAAAAAGCAACTTGGGGAGGAAAGGGTTTATTTCAATCACAGTTCCATATAGCAGTTCAGCATCAAAAGCAATGAGGGCAGGAAATCATGCAAGGCAGGATCCTGGAGGCAGGAGCTGATGCAGAGACTATGGAGGGGTGCTGCTTACTGGCTTGCTCCCCTTGGCCTACTCACCTGCTTTCTTACAGAACCTAGGACCACCATCCCAGAGATGGCACTACCCACAATGGGCTGGGCCCTCCCTCATCAATCACTAATTAAGAGAATGCCCGACAGGCTTGACCCCAGCCCAGTCTTATGGAGACATTTTCTAAATTGAGGCTCTCTCCTCTCTGATGACTCTACCTTGTGTCAAGTTTGACATAAAACTAACCAGTACATGTCACATGTAGTAAGGTGCACTTTTTGAGTAATAAGATGCTCAAAAATTTTTGGTTTTCAGATCAGAGTTCAACAGGTACTTGATTTACTACATCTATACTCATCCACAGAACCATGTAATATTTTGTATACTTTTCAAAGTAAATTATAGACATCTACCAAAACCAAAGGAGTAGAGAAGATATTGTACTCAGCATGATGGTGCATGCCAGTAATCCCAGTACTAGGAATGCTGAGACTGTATGATTGTGAAACCATCCTGGGCTACCTAGAGACCCTGTCTCAAAAAAAGTAGATATTATAGATTATAATTATAACCAGCTATGAAGAACAGCATTTTGAAGTCTGTAATCCCAGCACTCAGAAGGTAAAGGCAGGAGGGTCAGAGTTTCAACATAGGCATCAGCTGTGTAATGAGTTCAAGGCCATCTTGGGCTACATAAGACTTCGTCTCAACAAACGGAAATGGAGTGCTTTGGTGGTGGTGTGAATAGATGAATGATCAAAGCCTCTGTGATGATTGCTTCTCTAAACTGATAATATTACCACTCCTTGTAGGATGGGTTTCTAGAGAGACTCATAGTGATTTATTATAAATAGTCAACCTAATCTTAAAATTGCTTTTGATTGTTGTTTCTCTTACATCCTGCCTTAGCCTCCCTAGTTCTAGTATTATAGGTGTGAGCCACCACACCCCGCAAAGTGTTTTGATTGATTGAGTTATTTTACTTTGAAACTCAGTCTAGTAAAGGCTTTAAAATAGGTATGCCCATTCAAAGCATAAGCTTTATCAGGAAAAGTCAAACGAAGTTCCTTCTCATAAGCAGCCATTTTTAGGGAAGCTGAAATAACAGAATGTAAAACTGAGCAAATGGAAGGTGTTAGAAAGATTAACACACTGAAAGGAAAATAATATTTTCTGAATTACAATTTTTGACCTTGTGGCAGAAGAAAGGATTGTTTTGGTTCGTGCTTTCAGAGTTTTCAGTCCAAAATTAGCTGAAGCCTATCTCAAGGCAGAAGCACCTGGAGGAAGGGCATAGGGAAGGAAAGTTGTTCACCTTTTGGTAGCCAAGAGGCAAAGGAAGTGCCAGGGGCAAGGTACATCATTTTAGGGCCTGCGTCCAATGACCTACTTCCCTCAGTTAGGTCCTGCCTCCCAAAAATCCTATCTCATTACATGAATTAATCCATTGATAGATCAATCACTTCCCCAAAAGCCTGTCAGCTGGTATCCAGGCCCTCACTCAATACATGAGCCTTCAAGGAATACCTCAGATTCAGACAGTAGCAGGTAGTTATAACAACAGTAACCCAGTATCATTAAATAAAACAAAACTCCTTCTAATTACAGGCAATACCATTTTTAATTTCAGGCATTTTGAAAGCAATTCATTTAAGACCTTGAAAAAATATATAAGTCATGCTACCTTTGATGGTAGATTGCCTCCTCTAAGTATTTCATTTTGAAATAAAAAGCAAGGCATGGTGGTACACGCCTTTAATTCCAGTACTTGGGAGGTGGGCAGAGACAGATCTCTAAGTTCAAGGCCAGCCTGATCTACAAAGTAAGTTCCAGGACAGCCAGGGCTGTTACACAGAGAAACCCAATATAAATAATATTTTAAATATAGAAAGGAAGCTTGCAATTTTATTTTTACCAACAATAGCTATAAATCTGAAATGATGATAATTATAGCAAATTAGTGGTATTTAGTATTGAACATATTACTGGATTATTTTTAAAACAGAAATGGAAAAGATGTTTAAAGAACTCCTTAATGAAGTTAACATTTGTTTTAGGCAGAGTCTTAGACTGGCCTCCAACTGACTGAGTAGTAGAGAATAACCTTGACATTATGATCCTCCTGTTTCCACCTCCCAAGTGTTGGGAATAAATGTACAACTTTTGATTGGTGATAGAATCTGCTGTGTTTCCCAGATGAGCTGTAAACTCATAACCTCAAATAAATCCTGCTTTCTCAATATCCGTTAGTTCTGTAGACACAGGATGCCAAGCTAAAGTATTGTCTTAGTTACTTTTCTTTTGCCATGACAAAATACCATGACCAAGACAACTTATATAAGAAAGCATTTAATTTGGGGCTGATATTTACAGAGGCTAATAGAGTCCATGACGGTCACGGCATGGAGCCTGGCAGTAGACAGGTTGGCGTGCAATAGCTGAGCGCTTACATGTTGAGACAACATCACAAGGCAGAGAGAGGCAGAAAGACAACCTCCAAGACCATCCCCAGTGACACACCTCCTCCAACAAAGCCACACCCAATCCTTCCCAAACAGTTCCTCCAACTAGGAACCAAGCATGCTAATATATAAGCCTATGGGGACCAATCTCATTCTAACCACACCACAAGTATACACTTTTCTAGGGGGATTTAAGGCCATAGAGATAATATTTTGAATTGCAGTCATGCAACTACATTTTAAAATTTTACGATCAGATAATTATTTGTGAATCTTTTGTTGTTTTAAATCTTCATTTTTGCACCTGTTTTACTATCATTTATAGGTTCATGAACCACATGAAACACCACTTGGAACATGAAAAACAGAACAGTGAGTCCTGGGAAAGCCATACTACATGCCAGCACTGCTACAGGCAGTATCCCAACCCATTCCAGCTACAGTGCCACATTGAGAGTACGCACACTCCTCATGATTTTTCTAGTAAGTGACAGTTTTACCGAATTTGATTATCTGATTATGAGGGAACCTTAAGAACCACCCATTCCTATTACTATTATCATTAGTAGTGTTACCTTATTACTTTATGTATGGTTATACCAAATGAATCTTGTTTGCATATGCATCTGAAAAATGGTATAATATGTTTTTTCTCTTTCAGCTATTTGCAAAATCTGTGAATTGTCATTTGAAACAGAGCATATGCTTTTACAACATATGAAGGACACTCATAAACCCGGTGAAATGCCATATATTTGCCAGGTATACATGTTTATTATATACTTTGGTGTTTGTTCAGTGTCTGCATGCCATGAAATAGTATTGTTTCTTTTGATTTCTGAAGCATTTAAATAAAATTAGTTAGTATACTAAAATTGAAAAGCCTCTGTGTTTAGTGAAATTTCCCTTTGGTTGAACTCATGCATTGTATACGAAGTGTAATGAGCTAGATTCGGCCTTCCTGGCCACAGTTCTCTGACTACTGTCATAGACAATTGTCCAACTGGAGAAAGAAAGATGGGCTTATCATATAGGGAAGAATATAGATGTTTTGGGGAAACAGGAAATATTAGTGAACCTAAATAAATATTTTTTGACCAGTGTTTTTCTAGAGTTTGAAGTGACTCCCAGTATTAAGAAAGCAACATAAGCCGGGTGGTGGTGGCGCACGCCTTTAATCCCAGCACTCGGGAGGCAGAGCCAGGCGGATCTCTGTGAGTTCGAGGCCAGCCTGGTCTACAGAGAGAGTTCCAGGAAAGGCGCAAAGCTACACAGAGAAACCCTGTCTCGAAAAACCAAAAAAAAAAAAAAGAAGAAGAAGAAAGCAACATAAAAATAAACTGTCTCTGGCTTAACCTTTAAAATCCAAATAAAAAAATACTGTTTTATGTAGCAGTAAAAAGCATAGAATAAGAGGTGTCAGTGCTTGAAAATTTTAAGTCAATGTAAGGGGTGATAGATATGAAAAGAGAAATAAAGTCTAGCTCTAGTTTGAAATATCCCTAGTGCAGGATGTTTTTCTAAACCAATGATATATCACTACTCATTTGATGTAAATTATATGCAAATCTTAAAGTTTGATGTTCAACTTCAACTTTATTTATTTTTCTAGGTTTGCCAATTTAGATCGTCAATATTTTCTGATGTAGAAACTCACTTTAGATCATCCCACGAAAACACTAAGAACTTGCTATGTCCATTTTGTCTCAAAGTTAGTAGAATGGCAACCCCTTATATGAATCATTACATGAAACATCAGGTGAGATTTATACTTTATTTTTTCATATTGTTTTATTGAAAAGATATACATACTTAGAACATTAATTAAATTTATTCCAAGGAAAGAAAACTGTTCCAAATGACATGTTTAATTAACAGTTTATGCTGATTTATGAAACATCTACTTTTTCTTTTCTTTCCTGCTTTCAGGTAATACTGAGGTCCATAACCAGTGAACTTTCTGAAAGATATCACTAGAAATAGAATAGAGGGAAAAGGGGTAAATGAGTGGAATGTGTAAGCTGCATGTTTTGGCATCCAAGATTGGTAGGCATCGTGTCTTGTAGATAATTTTGAAGAGCAGAGGAAAGGATTTGAACTGAAAAAACTAAGATTTAAGATTCATAACCTTGTGATTTTCTTTTTCTTCAAATTTTTTCACTTGCTAGTCCATTTTGTTGTTTTGTTATGAGAAGACAGTATTTGTCATCAGTGACCCAGGACGGTTTCTAATAGTAGCTGCTGAAAGAGGAACAACTGTGACTCTTACTAGCAGATTTGTAAACAGTCAGGGGACAGGACTGTTCTTCTGTTGTAACTTGCTTCCCATTTATATATATATATAACAGTTCTACTAAGATCCCAGTATCAGTGCTTACACCTTTCTCTTGAGTTTTGATTTTGTAATCACGTAGTCTTTTTTGAAATCATTAGCCTGGACTTTGGCTGAAAGCTTTAATGAATCTGTGAGCCTATTATATGCTTGACAGAGCAACAACCAATACGTTGATTTATTGCCCACGTAGTAAACTTTCGCTTCTCGCTGATTGGCTCACTGTGTTTTCTTGTCCATTGTGTTGTCATTGCCAGTTTACTCAGCACCACTGCTTAGTATGACTTTGGTTCCGGTTGTTAGATAACCATGCGTTTAACTTCTTGTTAACGGGAAAACAATCACCTTTCACCCTTAAAAAGTTCTGACAAATCAATGTCTGCCTACCTTCCTTTTTTCTCTCTACCCCTCCCTCCTTCCCTCCCTCCCTCCCCTTCTCTTCCTCTCTCTTGCTCTTTTGATGGTAACTCACTGTTTAGCCCTGGCTGGCCTGGAACTCTGTGTAGACCACACTGGCCTCAAATTCAGAGAGCCACCTGCTTCTACCTCTGCCTCCCAAACACTAGGAAATAAAGATATGTTCCACCACACCCCGCAACAAAATCTAGTAAAGAATTTCCCTAAGACAGTTCTCTTTCAAATACTTTCTGATAAAAGAAATGACTGGAGTTTTAAAATTCAGAATTTAGGTGTGTGTGTGTGTGTGTGTGTGTGTGTGTGTGTGTGTGTGTGTGTGTGTGTGACAGGATCTCTGTATATAGTCCTAACTGTCCTGGAACTTACTATGCAAACCAGGCTGTCATTGAGCTCACAGAGATCCTTCTGCTTCTGCCTCCTGAATGCTGAGATTAAAGGCATGTGCCACCATGACTAGCCTAAATTTTTTTTGCTTATATATATATATTTTTTTCAGAGCTGAGGACCGAACCCAGGGCCTTGCGCTTCCTAGGCAAGCGCTCTACCACTGAGCTAATTCCCCAACCCCTTGCTTATATTTATAAAGAGAAAAATTTAAAGAACGTATTTTTTATTTTATTTAACTGGGTCACATAAAGTTACTTTCATGCAAGTCTATAATGTACTTTAAACAAAACTGGGAGTATAGCAGCTTCTGATTCTCATAAGTAATTCCACTGAATCAGCAAACCTGGGGTATTCATGGGGATCATTGACGTACTATGAGTACTCTCTTAGTCTGTTCAGGCATCTGTAACACACTATCATAAACTGGCTCAAATAATAAATAATTATTTCTCACGGTTCTAGAGAATGGAAAGTCTGAAATCAAGGCAAATCAAGGCACCAGCAGAATTGGGTCTGGAAAGGGCCTGCTTCTCATCGTGTCCTCATATGGCAGAAGGGACAAAAGACTTCTCTTTTGTAAGGACACTATCCCACTTATGAGGACTTTGCCTCCATGATCTAATAACCTTCCGAACACTCTGCCTCCCAGTGACATTGCATTGGCTCTCAGTCCATTCATTAAATTAAGAGTACCTAAGACATAAACATTCTTTAGGAAAGAGAAAAAAATAATTTCATAAGGCTTATCATGTATTTCTCAGGTATTTTCAGTTTGAGTAATTATTCACAAAAGACCAAAAAGCCAGAGCTGAGGAGTTTTGGTCTTGTAATGGAAATTACATTATTAACACACTAATAATTATTGAATTTGTACTTTGTTATTATTTTTGAAGATTTTGGAAATAGTACAGTTTATGTAATGTTTTAAAAATATTAAAGTTTTTAGATATGCTAAATATTTGTATTAACTTCTTAGTAGTAAAAGTAATTACCAACTGTTAATCACTTGCCTTATGACAAATAGTGATGCTTTTATGTTCATTATTTTAACATATTAAAATTAAGTGGGTATGTGATTATTTCCATTTTATAGAAGGGAAAACAAATCTTTTTTTTTTTTTTTTTTTTTGGTTTTTCGAGACAGGGTTTCTCTGTGTAGCTTTGCGCCTTTCCTGGAACTCGCTTTGGAGACCAGGCTGGCCTCGAACTCACAGAGATCCGCCTGGCTCTGCCTCCCGAGTGCTGGGATTAAAGGCGTGCGCCACCACCGCCTGGCGAAAACAAATCTTTATAGCAAATAATTTGACCAATATCATAGTCTCCAACAAATGACCGGTAAAAATTGATTCAGAGCCTAATCTTTTACCATTGACTCAAAATCCACAATGGTAGGTGGAAAGGCAGGAATTACAGATAGTTAATATTACCCCTGAAAATCCTTCAAATCCATCAAAGAGTATAGTATGCTTGTCAAAAATTTCAATGCAGGAACCTTTTTGTTTTTCTTTTTTTTTAAAACCTTTGGAACAAATCACTGTTTCTTTGGTTGAACATCATGTTATTTCTGTATCCTTATCAACCTTAGTGCCTTGCAACATACATACACAAGACAGACATTCAAATTTTAAGTTTAGTTAATTTGCATATTAGATTAATATCTCCAACACAAGCCTCTAGGAAAATGTTCTTTGAATGGAATAGCAGACATTTTAAACTCATTGTGCTCAGTGCTTATGTTTATTCTTCCGTTCTCTTGCTGCCTGACTTGCTATTTATTTAACAAATAATTTATAGTGTATAAATTTTGGGATACAGAAGTAAGAAAAGCAACCTTTGCTGTCTGGAATTTTCATTATAATGGAGAAAGGTGTATGTGAAATTACATACATACCAGTTAGTAGTAAATACAGTGGGAAGAAAATATAGGTAGGTGGATTGGGACTTCTAGATCTTTGGTGAAGGGGTAGCTTCTCTTTTTTACATGAGTTGGTCAAAGAAGACCTCTCCAAAGGGGATAAGAGAATATTCTAAACACTGGGACCATTTTTAAGTAGGTTAGATAGTGAGGTGAGCATATATTTGGGGTATTGAAGGAATAGCAAGGATGTTAATATGACTGGAGGACAGTAAAGAAGCAGTAAGGCCAGGTGGTGGTGGCACACACCTTTAATTCCAGCACTTGGGAGACAGAGACTGGCAGATCTCTGTGAGTTCAAGGCCAGCCTGGTGTATAAAGCTAGTTCCAGGACAGCCAGGGCTACACAGAGAAACCCTGTCTCAAGAAGAAAAGAAAGAAAGAAAAGAAAAAACAGTAGTAAGGAAAGTAGTAGCTGAGGTTTTGGTAATGGAAGATGGAAGGCAAAGCCGATGGAGTAAGGCCTTGTACACCAGAGTCAGGATTCCTGAGTGTAATGGAAAGCCACCAGAGGGTTTCAGCAACTGAGAAATGTATAATGTGTTTAAGATCACCCAGCAGCTATGGAAAGGAATGACCATACTAGGGGTTAAAGGATAGAAACAGGGAGAAGATAGAAACCTGTTTCAAAGTTCACATTTATACTAGTATGGATGGTAGCAGTGGTTGGAGGTAATGAAAAATAGAAAGAGAAATGTTTTAAATATATTGCTAATAACTTATTATAGGTTGTATTAATGTGTAAGAAAGAGAAGCGTTAAAAGTGACCAGGTCTGGTTTTTTTTTGTTATGAGATGCAAGAATGGAATTTTCATGTACTGAAATATTAGAAAAATATGGAAGAAATAGATTCTTAAATGTATATAATTTTTTGAAATTATTATATTATTTCCCCCTTTTTTCCTCCCTCCAACCTCTCCCTTACCCCTTCTCTTCTTGCTCTCTCTCAAATTCATATCCTGTTTTTCTTTACTTGTTAAACACACAAACACACACATACAGACCCCTAAATATATAACCTTCTCAGTCCATGTCATGTTAACTCTATGTATATGATCTAGGACTGACCATGAGGTACTGGATAACCAATTTGGGGCCATTTCATGATACTTTTACATGGAAGCATGTAGTTCTGTGTTCCATTCTGGACATGAAGTAGAAGTTGCTATTTCCTAGAGAATATGTAAATTTGCATCAGTGACATATAAGAGATTCAGATTCCAGTTATTCGTGACATCACTGAATATTATCTAAAACAGTAAAACAGACACTTTACATTTATGTTGTATATCAGTCTGCATATCATGAAGAACTTTTATCTGCCATTTGCCTGCTGCACATCAGTAACTGCTAGATACTTTTGTGTATATATATAGTACCTTGTTTTGGTTTTCCTCCATGATTATTTATTTACAAAGAAATACTTATGTGCTTGTGGACATACAGATTTATAAAAAAAATGACTATTTTGCATTTATTTTGCTTAAGATTTATATATAAATATAAGGTATGTGTAATCAGTGAGAATATGTACATAAATATTGCAATTAACAGATAAAGAACACTAACTGGCTATAAACAAGTGACTTGATTTTTCTGGAGTTCTATTTGTATCAGCAAAGTAATAATATTTCTATTTGAAAAATCAAGTCAAAGGATTATCAAACAGTAAGTTGGAAAGAGTTATTTTATGCTTCCATATGCATGCAGCTCAACCTCATAATATCTAATGATGTGTGTCTATTTAAATTTATTTATTTATTTGTTTATTTATTTATTTATTTTGGTTTTTCGAGACAGTTTCTCTATGTAGCTTTGCGCCTTTCCTGGAACTCACTTGGTAGCCCAGGCTGGCCTCGAACTCACAGAGATCCGCCTGCCTCTGCCTCCTGAGTGCTGGGATTAAAGGCGTGCGCCACCACCGCCCAGCTAAATTTAGACCTACAAAAAATAAAATTACAAGATTATCTTCTCCGTTGCACTTCTCCCGTTTAAAGCACTCACTGTCCATTTGTAAGTGGTCGATTTCACAATGGATAATGCAACTGTAGAAAGTTTTTTTACATAGAACTGCCATTTAGAACTATATTGCATAACTTTCTTCAGAGTTTCTGGTTAGATTTTTTTTTTCATTTTTTGTTTTATTTGTTTGGTTGGTTGGTTGGCTGGTAAGTGTTTGCTTGCTTGCTTGTTTGTTTGTTTGTTTGAGACAGGGTCTCACTGTGTAGCCCTGGCTGGCCTGGAACTTGCTATGTAGACCAGACTGACCTCGAATTCGCGGAGATCCACCTGCCTCTGCCTTCAGAGGGCTGTGATTAAAAGCATGCGCCACAATTCCCAGCTAGACTTTTTGGTTTTAAAAGTTAATTTTCTTTTACCAACTTGTGAAATGAATGGAGATAGCAATAAAGAATTTACTTTTTCTAAGGATAAAAATAAAATGTAATTCATTTTTGTAATTTTGCATGTTTGAATACTTCATACATCAAACTTATAATCAGAAGTGCCTTTATACCACAATAGATGTAGAATTTTTCCCAGTAGATTCTAGTTGATATAAGTTCGTGTTGAGTACTTTGTATCATAACAAATACTTTTGAAATTCAAAGACATCCTTTTTTTAAAAAAAATGGAATAAAGTGCTTACCTAGTCTACATGAAATCCTAGAATTCATCTTCAGTATTTCACAAACAAATGAATGATGAATGAATGAATGAATGAATGAATGAATGAATGAATGGCTCTGTATAGCCCAGTGGTAGCATAAGAGCTTGACTATAATCCCTAGCACCAAAAAGAAAAAGAAAGAATATTATAGCATTATTTATGATGGGAGATGGTAAAATAGTCACTTTTTAAAATTATAGAGATGTTAGTCAAAGAGAAATTTCAGGTCTCAGGGTTTATGATTGGCAGTTGTTAGTGTCTCTAGAATATGGTGGTGCATAGCTATAATCCTAATGCTTGGGAAGCTGAAACAGGTGGATCACAAGAGACCGACAAGGTGTACCACATACAGAGTTTCAAGGGTAGCTGGGGCTGGATAGTGAGACCCTTTCTCATAAAAGAAAAGAAACATATTTTAATATCATTCTAATAATTTTTATAAACAGAATAAAGGAATTCATCGTTGCCCAAAATGCAGACTACAATTTTTGACCTGCAAGGAAAAAACAGATCATAAGTTAGAACATCGTACATTTATAAAGCCTAAAGAACTAGAAGGATTGCCTCCTGGAACAAAAGTGAGTATTAGATGTGTTGTATTTTAGCATTTTGTCTAATAAACTCCTCGGCTGGGTATGGTGGTGGATGCTTTGAATCCTAGCACACAGTAGGCAGAAGAAGGTGGGTTCTCTGAGTTCAAAGATAGCCTGATCTACAGAGTGAGTTCCAGAACAGCATGACTCTGTCTCCAAAAAAAAAAAAAAAGAAAGGAAAAGAAAGAAAAAGAAACCCCTGTCTGGTCTTATCTATTGAATATAATATATAAATTTACCTAACTTTATTAAGAACTAAAGTTAAGGTTTTATTATTCTTTTTAATTTGTGTGTGTATATATGTATGCTATATGTTAAGAACTAAAGTTACTGTTTTATTACTCTCTTTTAAAGTGTGTGGGGTGTGTGTGTGTGTGTGTGTGTGTGTGTGTGTGTGTGTGTGTGTGTGTGTTATGTGTTATATTAGTACCTGGAGAAGCCAGTGTGTGTGTGTGTGTGTGTGTGTGTGTGTGTTATGTGTTATATTAGTACCTGGAGAAGCCAGATAAGAGCATCAGATACCCTGGGGTTACAAGTAGTTGTAAGCCCCATCCTACATGGATTCTGGAAACCAAACTCAGGGCCTCTGCAAAAGCATCAATTGTTCTTAACTGCTGACCCTTCTATCTCTTCAGCCAGGTTTCGTTATTCTTATGCTTGAAAAGTAAAACTTTTGACTGTTGTTTGAGTTGATTGACAGATGCCTTGTTGAAGTGACATCCTTTTTAGAGTCATTGTAGGATGAGTCCCTAAGTTGTTTTAGTATTCTGTAGGCTGTTTTTCTAATCTATTACATGCCTCCACTGCTAGACTACAAAGTATTTGAGACTGGGAATCATGTTTAATTTATCTTTGTGTTCTGAGCATCTATCATAGTGCCTTGAATGTTATGGATGTGTTGAGGTTGATGTCACTGAATCTACTTTCAGAGAAACAAGTTCTTTTACTGGATAACATTACTGTTTTTACTGGATAAGCACACATTTGACTATAAGTTTCATTTTCTGTGTTTGCCATGTTTTTTCTCTGACTTCTTTATATAAAGTTTGCTCCTGAATATTTGGTCCAGCAGATGGATGAATAATCCAAAATTATATTGTTCCCAAGCTTTCATATTTGGCTTTTAGCACATACTTTTGTGAGTATATCTGCTATTAGAATTACCTAAAATCAGATTACCTAAATTAATATAGAGCAATTGCCGTGAACATCTAGAGTAAGAAAAGCATTCCAGTGTAACTTCTTGCAATCCATTTATCCCATGTTGAGACTAGACATAGAGAAAACTAATGTGAACATTGCAAACCTCTCATATTTTCCATATTGTAATACAGTGATAGTAATAATATCGATAAAATCCATGTCTTTTTTAATATCTTCTAATTTATCCAGTCAGCCATCCAACAAGACAGGAGGGTTAGCGAGTATTGTCCCTGTATTTAGATAAAGGAACTTAGATGGAATTAATTCTTTATTTAAAATCACAGGGAGGGGGCTGGAAAATGCATTTCTTTAGATACTCATATAGTTTACACTAACTTCTAATTATCCATTAATATCTGTGTTTACATATAAATGTTGCCAATATAAAACAATAGCAAATAAACATCCAACTAAATTTCATTTAACTGATAAGACCATTTAAAATATATGGAAAATGGGGCCAGTGAGTAAAGGTACTTGCCACCCAACAATGCAAGTCTGATGACCTGATTTCAATTCAAGGAACCCATATAAACAGAAGAGAGAATCAATTCCAGAGTTATTCTTTGACCTCTACATGTGCACCAAGTATGCACACACACACACACACACACACACACACACACACACACACACACACACAAATAAACTACAAAAAATAGAGTAAATGGAAAATATATCTAATTGTACCGTGTGTTTACTACTTTAAATAAATGATATTTGACTTTTTGAATTATACTGGTTTTTGTAACAGCTTATTTAGAATATAATTCACGTACCAGACATTTTTCCATTTAAAGTGCTCAGTTCAGTGGTTTTATGAACATATTCAGAGTTGTGGAAACATCATCTTATGCAATTTTAGACCATTTGCATTATCAGTGAAAGGAACTCTACGTCCATTAACAGTGACTGTATTATAGCACCACTCAATTATAGCAAGCTTTAGTCTCTTCCCTATGAATTTTTCCAGTTTGAAAATTCCATGTAAAGGAAATCCTACAACAGATAGTCTTTGAGGATTTCTTTTATTTGGCATAATGTTTTCTAGGCTCATCCATCTTGTAGCATGTTTCAGTGCTTCATTCCTTTCATAACCGAACATATTCCATTGTGTGTGTATATTTTCATTCATCAGTTGGTGGCATTTGATTTTTTTAGGCTGTGACAATGATACCATAAATATTTTTGTAAAAGTTTTTGTGTAAGCATATGTTTTCATTTTTCTTGGGAATGTACCTAGGAGTAGAATTGTGAGCTTCTTTGCTAACACTTATATTTAGTGTTTATATCTTCTTTGAAAAGATGCCTTCTTGTCTATTTTGTTGTTTGCTTATGCTTTTGATGGCATATTTAAGAAGTCATTTCCTGCAGGCCTGGTGGTGCCTTCAGTCCCAACACACATGGGAGGCAGGTGGATCTCTGTGAGTGTCCAGCTTGGTCTCTATAGTAAGTTCCAGGACAGCCAGTGCTACATAGAGAGACCCTCTCTCTCTCAAAAAAAAAGTAGAAGTCATTGACTAACCCTCATGGTATGAGAATTTATTTCCATATTTTCTTCTGAGAGTTTTATAATTTTAACACTTGAGAGTTAATCCTTGATATATGTTAATTTTTGTGTTGAATATGAAGTAAGATTTCTAATTCATCCTTCTATATGTGGACGTCAGTCTTTACAGCACTGTTTAAATGTTGACAGAACTGTCATCCCTGCCTAAATTGTTTTGGCACTCTTGTAAAACCAAGTATTTGACCATAAGTGTGAGGGCTTGGGCTGGCTGGAGAGATGCCTCGGTGGGTAAAATACTTGTACAAATGGGAAAGCTGACGTTTTGGATCCCAAGCATCCCCATAGAAAAAAATCTGAGTAGGTGTGGTGGCCCAACTGTAGTCCCAGAATGTGGGAGGAAGAAACGGGGGATTCTGGGTGCAAGCTAGCTAGCTAGACTAGCCAAATCAGCAAGCTCTGTGTTCAAGCGAAAGGCCCTGCTTCAGTATATAAGGTGGAGAGCAATTGAGGAAGACACCTGGTATCAAACTTCAGGCCTCCACATACACACGTGTGCCCCCACATACATGACCACACTCACACATATTAGATAACTAAATGTGAGCCCTTATAGGCAGTGGTTTTTGTTTTATTTTTAAAGATTTATTTATTTATTATCTATACAGTGTTCTGTCTGCATGTATGCCTGCAGGCCAGAAGAGGGCACCAGATCTCATTACAGATGGTTGAGAGCAACCAGTGCTTTTACCGCTGAGGCATCTCTCCAGCCCCCAGGTGGTTTTTTAATGTCACTTTAATAATCTAAAAACACATCCTGCCTTTGTTTTCCTAGGTTACTATTCGAGCTTCATTTGGATCTGTTCAGTCAAGATCATCAACCCCACCTCCTAGTCCTATTCCAAGTACTTCTCTTCAAGTCTCATCTCCAACGTCTAAAAGTACAACTACTAAAAATAACACAAAAGTATCTGCAAATAAAAGTAAGATAAGTAAGGCTCAGACAGTTTTAAGCACGACGATAAGTAAACCCAATGCAAGTAAATCAGGTACAGGTGCAACTAAATCCAAAGCCAAGCCATCCTACAAGCAGAAGAAACAGCGCACCCGGAAAAACAAATTCAGTATAGCGTTGAAGAACTTGAGGTACTATCTCTATTCATTGTATGTGATACTAACTTAATCTCAAAAGTTAAATGTTTCTTTTAATGACTTACCATGTCACAGAACCTTGCACACTGAAAGGACAATTACTCTTCTACTATGAAGACTAAGCAGATAATAAAATGGTACTTTTTTACAACTACTGAGCAGAATTTGAACTGCTGTGTTTATTCTGTGATTTTAATCTTTTTCACTAGTCTTAAACTTCGTATTTTTACCTAATGACATTAAATTGCTTAACTAAGCCCCCCCCCCCTTTTTTTTGGTTTTTCGAGACAGGGTTTCTCTGTGTAACAGTCCTGGCTGTCCTGGAACTCGCTTTGTAGACCAGGCTGGCCTCGAACTCAGAGAGAGCCACCTGCCTCTGCCTCCCGAATGCTGGGATTAAAGGTGTATACCACCACACTGCTTAACTAGGCCTTTTTATTCTAGGGGAATATTTACATGTGTTAGATTTTTGCACTCGTTTTAGCTTATTGCTTCAAAGCAAATTTTCAAAATTTAAATATCTATTTTTTTAAATTCTTCTCTCATACAATATACCCCGACCACAGATTCTCCTCCCTCCTCTCCTCCCAGTTCTCTCCCCTCTCCCCCAAATCCACTGCTCCTCCATTTCCCTTCAGAAAAGAGCAGGCCACCCAGTGATACCAACTGAACATGGCATTACAAGATGCAGCAAAACTACTAGGCATAAACCCTCATATCAAGGCTGGATGAGGCAACCCTATAGGAGGAAAAGGGTCCCAAGAGCAGACAAAAGAGTCAGAGACAGCCCCCACTCACACTGCTTGGAGTCCCACAAAAAACTCTAGCTAAAGAACCACAGCATGTATGCAGAGGGCCTGACGCAGACCCATACAGGTTCAGTGATTGCCGCTTAAGTCTCTGTGAGCCCCTATGGGCCCTATTTAGTTGATTCTGTGGGCTGTGTTCTCCTGGAGTCCTCAACCCACCCCCCACCCCCGCTTCTACAATCCTTCCTCCCCTCTTCTGCAGGGTTCCCTGAGCTCCACCTAATGTTTGGTTGTGGGTCTCTGCATCTGCTCCCATCAGCTGCTGGAGGGATAACAGTGATAACAGTGGGGCCAGGCTCCGATCTATGAGTATAGCAGAATATCATTAGGAATCATTCCATTGACTTTTGTTTTGCTTTGTTTTGTTTTGGTCAGTCATGTTTGGTTCTACCTTAGATCTCTAAGCTGTCCACCTTCCAGTTCCTGGCCATCCAGGCAGTGTTGGTCATGGACTCCCTTTCATGGCTTTGGCCTCAAGTCAGACCAGTTATTGGTTAGCTACTCTCACAATATTTTACATGTGTTAGGCTCTTAACATCGTTTTAGCTTATTGCTTCAAAGCAAATTTTCAAAGTTTAAATATCTATTTGATAATCTTAAACATCTTCGTTTCAATTAAATAATTATTAATAAAGGTTTCCTTATTATTTTGTTGTATAACATATTTTTATTATTTTTTTGTCTCCATAAGATGTCACCAGGGAATTCACACGTGTATGGAGTGCCATTCCAAAATAAAAGATTTTTCAAGCCACTTTTCCACATACAAAAATTGTGATTTTTGCAAGTACATCACTAACTGTAACAAAGCCTTTACAAATCATATGAGGTAAGTTGAGCATGTAAGGTGCCAGTCAAAATTACCTTTCAGAGCTTGGGGTGTAACTTCCTGATATACCATTGCCTAGCATGTGTAAAGCCCCAGCACCAAAAGAAAAAAAATTGCCACCCATATTTGATGGCGAATGCCTGTAATCCCAGCATTTGTGAGGTGGAGGCAGAAGGATCCGGAATTCAAGCTTATTCCCAGCTATATATTAAGTTTAAAGGTAGCTTGGGCTTTCATGAGACCCTGTATCCAAAATTACTACCCTTTGAGGAGTTTGTTGTTTGTTTGTTTTAAAGACAAGTAAGTGTGTCTCATCATGGAAGTGTGAATCTAGAAATACAGAATGTCTAGGATCTTCCTTGTATGTTTTCAAATGTAATAATTCATAAAACCACTGCGACAGAAATTATAAAACCAGCTAAATTAATACAATTAGACTGATTTTATTAAATAAATGCATTTTTAAAACTTCTTTATTTCGTATTAGTATTCTGCCTGCTTGTGTATACATACACTGAGTAGGTACAGTGCCATAGAAACCAGAAAAGGGTGTCCGATTCCCAAGGGCTGGACTCAGAGATGCTGAGATGCCATGTGGGTGCTGGGAACTGCCTATCTCTGCCTCCTGAGGGCGAGATAGAATTCAACACATTTGTTACTACAGCTAGCTTTTCTTGAAAACGGTGATGCAAGATTGCTGTTATTTTCTCTCCATAGTAGGTCACTTTGAAGGACTTGCCCGCACGTTTTGACGACTTCAGCTTTTTCTTACCTCGGTATCGGCCTGGCCTCGGGGCACTTTAGCTTTAGTGTAGTACTTCATGTACACTTTTGACTTACAAAATATTACCTCATTATATGAAACACTGGTTTCAGTTACTTATTGACATAGCTCTTGGAACCTTGACCTCCCTCCCTCCCTCCCTCCCTCCCTTCCTCCCTCCCTCCCTTCCTCCCTTCCTCCCTTCCTTTCTTTTTATAAGGGACACAAATCCTATGTGTAAGGATTCTACCATTGTGACCTAATTACTTCCCAAATATTTTCTTCTAATGCCATCACATTGATTGAGGTGAAGGGGAGGTTAGGATTTTAATATATTAATGGGTAGATCCTTGCTCAGACCATACCAGGATCAATATAATCTCATCATTTATGTCATTAATTTCTATTCAAAATTAGGAAATTAATCATAGACTTGAAAACATGTTCATAAAATTAATATGACTAATTCAATAATAAAAGTAATAAAATCTTGTTTGTCTTTTATCTGTCAGCTCTCATAGTGACCACCCAAGTAAACAGTTTTGTATTTTTAAGAAGCATTCAAGAGCAATCAGGTAATTAATTGATCTTTTTCTGCTCTTTGTATTAAAAAGTTGTAATTCCACTTTTTAACCAGGTGTTGGCATACCTAATTTGAAAATCTAAACAATTGTCACTGAATATGATAGACTTGTGTTTGTTATATTCTTAGAACAACAAAGGAAGGGATAGCCTTTTATATGACTAATCTCTGTTTCAGTGGTGCCAGATATTGAATTGAAACTTTCATGCATTCACACTGTAAAATGAAAATACAAGTCTCTTTAGCAATACTTGATTGGGAGTAAGTTTATTAAAATACTAACATATTTGAAATTAATATACAGTGTTTATAAATGTCAGTTTTATTCTTTTTAAATGTCCTTTAGTTTATTATGTGTGTATGGGTGTCTTGCCTGTATCTATGTCTGGGTACCACATGCATGCCTGGTATCCACGGAAGCCAGAAGAGAGCATTGGATCCCCTGAGACAGGAGTTTCAGATGGCTGTGAACCACCATGTGCATTCTGACAATCTAACTTGGGTCCTCTGGAAAAGCAGCCAGTGCTCGTAACTGAGCCATCCCTCCAGCCTGTCACTTTTATTCTTTATGAAAAAAAAGTATACAACTTCTTACTATACAGAACAACTGTTCGGTTACTATTTCTAAAGGCATTCGTTTTTGTTATATCACACATTTTGCTCAGAATCAACTAAGTATTGTGGGATTTTTCAAATTCTTCTGATTTTTTTTTACTCCATTTTCTTTTTTTTATTATTATCCCACTCATGTTGTCAGACACTAAATTGTGCCTGGCACATAATAGACACTTAGTTAAGTTAGAATATGTACTAAAAATATATATGTCTGTGATATTAGGTCATTAGCTCATAAAAGAAAAAAAGTTTGATGCCATTTTTTAAAAATCAGAGTTGGAGAGGTGGGTTATGGGTTAAGAGTACTTGCTGCTCTTGCAGATAATGAGAGTTTAATCCCCAGCACCCATATCAGGCATATCATATCAAAAGCCTGTAACTCCAGCTCCAGGGGATCCAGGGATCTTCTGGCCTCTTCAGGCAATGCATATATGTGCGCATATACTCCTCCCATGCACATAATTAAATACAATCTTAAAGTATATATATTTATTGTTGTAGCACTTAGGGAAGCATGCCTTTGACCCAAGAGTTAGGGAATCTAAGACAGAAGGATAGTGAGCTCAAGGCCAGCCTGATCTACATAGCAAGTTCCAAGCCAGCCTGTTACCTGTCTCAAAGTAACAACAATTAATAATAATGGTAAATAAATGTTATTTTTAAAACATGAGTGATTCAATGAATTAGAAAAGAAAAGTAAAAAAAAAAAAAAAAAAAAAAAAAAGAAAAGAAAAGTATATTAGATAGTACATTTACTGGAAATATTTGTAAGTAATAGGAAATGGATTTTTAAATATTTTATGTTGAATTGTTAATTCTTTACCTATTTATTGTTCGTCTATCATGTGTAATACAAAGTATCAAGTCATGTTCAGATCAATGATGAAGAAGACTTGGTACCAACTTTCAAGAATGTACAATTTAAGCTGGGTATGGTGGAAGCATGCCTTTGTCCCAGCACTCAGGAGGCAAAGGCAGGTGCATCTCTGTGGATTCACGGCCAGCGTGGTCTACATAGAGAGTTCCAGGACAGCCAAAGCTACATAGTGAGGCCCCGTCTCAAAACAATGTACAATTTATTGGGAGGATATAAACAAATGAACATAAATAAATCCAGTGATATCAGGAAATTTGTCATAAATACAGTGAGAGTTACTTATTTCAGAGGAGATAGAGGTTTCTACTTAAAATATGCATGAAGAAGCAGGAATTGACGTGCAGAAACAAAAAGAAGAAAGTTGACATGGACTTCTGAGTCACATTGAATAACTACTAATAAAGTTTGACTGGAGCACAAAGGTCATGATTAGATCAAAATATGGTGAAATCATTTTAAGCTTCCAGACACATTTTTTTTATTCCAAAAAATGGTTCTAAGGAATTAAGAATTAATTTTACTTTGAAAGACATTGAAAAAGTCAAAACAGATGCTTTGAGTAGAATCAAGGACATGGAAAGAAGATCAGTTTGGAAGAGTATACATGGTGAGTTGTAGCTGCATAAACGACACAGTAGTTAAGGCTGTTATTTAGTCATTGATTGGGCTGCGACTAGAGAGATGGTAAAGTGGTTAAAAGCACTTGTTGCTCTTACAGAGGATCTAGGTTCAGTTCCCAGCACCTACACATGGTGGCTTACAACCATACATAATTCTAGTTTCAGTGGAATCTAATGTTCCAACTTCAATGGGCACCAGGCACGCATGGTGTATGCATGCATACATACATGTAATCAAAACACTCATACACAGAAAATAAAATAATAAATCTTTTTTTAAAAATCCCAAAAGAAGCCGGGCGGTGGTGGCACACACCTTTAATCCCAGCACTCGGGAGGCAGAGCCAGGCGGATCTCTGTGAGTTCGAGGCCAGCCTGGGCTACCAAGTGAGTTCCAGGAAAGGCGCAAAGCTACACAGAGAAACCCTGTCTCAAAAAACCAAAGGAAAAAATCCCAAAAGAAAGAACAGGGGGCCTAGTGAGATGGCTCAGCGGTTAAGAGCACTGGCCACTCTTCCAGAGGACCCAGGTTCAATGTTCAGCACCCACATGGCAGCTCAAAATTGTAACTCCAGCCGGGCGGTGGTGGCGCACGCCTTTAATCCCAGCACTCGGGAGGCAGAGCCAGGTGGATCTCTGTGAGTTCGAGGCCAGCCTGGGCTACCAAGTGAGTCCCAGCAAAGGCGCAAAGCTACACAGAGAAACCCTGTCTCGAAAAACAAAAAAAAAAAAAAAAAAAAAAATTGTAACTCCAATTCCAGGGAATCCAACACCCTCCTACAGACATACATAAAGGCAAAACACCAATGAACATAAAATAAAAATAAATTGTATTTTTTTTAAAAAAGAAGTCCACCCGGGCAGTGGTAGCACATGCCTTTAATCCTATCACCTCAGGAGGCAGAGGCAGGCGGATCTCTGTGAGTTCGAGGCCAGCCTGGGCTACCGAGTGAGTTCCAGGAAAGGCGCAAAGCTGCACAGAGAAACCCTGTCTCAAAAACCCAAAAAAAAAAAATTATATAATTAAATTAAAATCTTACAACAAAGCTTATGGGCTATTTTTTTAAAAAAAGAACAGAAAATGGGTTTTGGAATCAAAGGGCTAATTTTCAAGCATGGGGCTAGCCTTAGATAAGTTACTAAATGTGACCTTATCCACTTTAGAAAAGTGGTCATTATAGCACCTAACTTTTAGGGGTGTTTAGGTCATTTGTTTAGAAGAGATAGGTCTAAAACCTCCACTTTAGTACAGTGTAAATGATATTTGAAATTGTTATTAGATATTTGAAATATTGAAGTATTGTTTTTTTGTTTGTTTGTTTTTTTTTTTTTTTTTTGGTTTTTCGAGACAGGGTTTCTCTGTGTAGCTTTGCGCCTCTCCTGGAACTCACTTGGTAGCCCAGGCTGGCCTCGAACTCACAGAGATCCGCCTGGCTCTGCCTCCCGAGTGCTGGGATTAAAGGCGTGCGCCACCACCGCCCGGCCGAAGTATTGTTTTTATTTGAACCTCAGAGCAAGGAAATGGCAGCATAAGAGAAACCAGGAATAAAGGGTTGTTTCTGGGAGGAAAACATGATTTTGATTGTTCAAGGACACTTTTTTATGTGTATAACACCTAGTCTTAAATATAAAACAGGATGGTAAGACCAGAGCTGCAGAGAAAAAAGTCAGCATAAGGTATACTACTGGGTTTTAGACCTATAAAGGTAAGGTGTTTTATATGATAAAGCCGGTTGTGGTGGCTCACACCTATAATTCTAGAACTGGGGAAAGGAGGTAGGAGCATCCTGAGTTCAAGGCCTGCCTGGGCTAATAGTGAAACCCTGTCTCAACGCAAACAAAACACAAGTAAAATATCAAGTATGTATATGCTTTATTGATAAAGCAATAATTATATTAAATGGCTAAATTTAAGGCCTTCACACCTCATCTAACTTTATTCGGACTTAAATACACTAGATTATATGCTTCATGAACTGTACTGTTTTGTTTGCTGTTGTATCCAAAATGCCTAGCATAGAGAACATCCTCGGGCTTATTTTTAGTTTGTTAAAGAGACTCCATTCTGTTTTCCATAATATTACAAATGTACACTTCTAACAACATTGTGTAAGAGATTTTTCTCCGTTATCTTCACCTGCATGTGTTATGTTTTGCATATTGATATAAGCCATTCAGACTTGAGTGAAATGATATCTCATTGTGATTTTCGTTTATATTTCTTTGGCTAATGATTTTGAAATCTTTTTCAGACCTCTTGACTATTTATATTTCTTATTTAGAGATCTTTTGCTCAACTGTTTGTGAAAAATAGTGCTGTGTTTTGTTCAGGTGTATATGCATCTGTAATAATATGAAGAAACAAACAAGGTCTTCAGCCAAAATGGATTTTGAATGAATGTTATGTTCTTGCTTGGCAGATAAGCCAAGCCATGGAATCACTGTGACTTATACAAGTTATACAAGTTGCTAGTGGATCCAAGACTGCTTTCGGTCTCTGGATGCCCATCTTTTAGCAACAGATTGGGAGTATACAACTTATAAAGCACTAAGTAATCGCATAATTTAGCAATGGCTAGGCCAATTTCTTGAGAATCTTTTTTTGTTTTCATGGTCAAGTGATCAAATCTAGAGCTTTGCACATGAAAGGCAAATACTGTCTACAACCCAACTCTTTGAGAAACTTATTAGATATATCTATAACAAATTGGGAAATGACAGTGATAGCAGATAAAATAAAAATCAAGAGTTATTACATGAAGCAACAATTACTGAATTTATGTGTGGATTGCCACATGATCTTCTGTCTTACAACTCTTCTCTCTTTTCATAGGGGCATCACTCTAGTGTGCCTTAAATGTGACTTCCTAGCTGATACTTCTGGCTTAGACCGTATGGCTAAACACTTAAATCAACGTAAAACTCATACTTGCCAAGTTGTAATAGAAAATGGTATGTACATGTGTCTATTATTATGAATTTATGATGTGTATGAGCCAGTAGTTTGAATCGATTACAGTGTGAGCTCTTACAAATTAAACTGATACTCGGTCTTCATGTGTTACATTTATAAACATAAAGCCTTCTCTGATTTCAGTTACTGAAAGAACTTCTGAATCCACTTCTGAGTAAGTTTATTTTCATTCAGCACAATTTACTTTGATAGATTTTAGTATTGTTGCAATTTTTAAATGTATCATTAATAGAAATGAAAAATATTAAAGTATTTTGTTTTTGTTTTTGTTTTAAAGCGGCTTGTTGAAATAGATTCCTGCTCTATGGAGCTCGTGCAACCTGGTGCAAGACAAGTTGGAATTTCCTAAGTTCAAAGTTCTGCAGTGTTTGCTTTCACAAATCCAGTTTCCTAAGTTCAAAGTTCTGAAATGTTTCACGAAGGCAGTTAAAATCCACTACACTAGCTCTCTTTACTCAGCTCTTTTCAGCTTTCAGATGGCAGGAGACTCTTATTCCACCTTATCTTTGTGTCAGGTTAACATATCTTAACAAGTACTTTTCCTCTCCAGTTGACTCTGAAAAAAAGAACTTTTGCTATAGTCTTTTCTTGCTTTGCTTCACATAAGTTGTGTTTTTCTCGGCTGTACTTGCCTTCAGAACATTACATATGAAACAGAGTAGCTCTTCCTATTTCTTTTTGTGTGTTTTGTCTGCTTCTTAATTTCTTATAAGTCTTGCTGGTCAGTTAGCTACTTTTTCCTTCATTCTTTGTCTGTCATTGTTCTATTTTTCATATTTTTCAGATGCAGATGCAACACAGAAATTTCAAAAAATGTCCAGTGTACTCCTGGACAGTGTCCCCCTTCGATGGACACAACTGATGCCTGTTCTCTCTTTCCAAGGAATGTGAATTGTTTGACTGTGAGACCTGTTTCAGTTTGTGGCCTTGGGAATTTATCAGTTCTTAGGCACAGTCCTTTCCTACCTGACTGGCCTTACATAAGGCTGATGTTGATTTGGCCATCAGTGACTTCAAGGGCCACCAAATTGAGCACAACTTCTCTCTGGGAGCTTTGGTTCTTAAGTTTAGGCTTATGGATTGATTATAACCATGAAACTCCATCAAGTAAGTGCTTTAACATCCAAGTTCAAGTTTAATCATTCTGGCTGCAGCCTTTTAATCTTCCTCTAGCATGAATGCAGTCTGAGGTATATGAAAAACCTGATTGTGTAGGGAGTGAAGATTACTTTCATTTTCTTGGAAAAGCAAGCTTTGTGAAGTTCTAGCTCCAAAGTAAGTTATTTACGTTGGTTGTCCTTTCAAGTTTTAGCCAGTAGTTCAAGAGTTCTCAGCAGTGCTAGGATTTAAATTCCTAATTTTTAAAAAATTAAAGTTTGATAGCTTGATTTTTGTCATTCACCAAATTTATTGATGTCTACTTTGTATGTCTACTTTTGTGATTTCTGATTAAATCTTTTGTTTTGTGTTTGTTAAAAATGCCAAGAAATTTCTTTAATATTTTCTTCAGATTTCATGCAGCTACCTGTTGGTAGTTTCTTTCTGTTTTTTTTCTTTTCTCTTGGTTTTGGTTTTGGTTTTTTGAGACACGGTCTCTATTATATAGACCAGGCTAACCTTGAACTCACAGATTTCCACCTGCCTCGGCCTCCTAGGTGCTGGATTTAAAGGCATTGTGGTACTTGTTCAGGTCATCAGACATTAATATATGCTCTGTCTGTCTTGAGACTATCAATAACATCTTAGGGGTCCGGAATTCTAAGACAAGAGCAAACGCTCCCCTTACAAATCTTAAAACACATTTGAAGTTACATTGCTATTCACTTAGTAGTTGTCTTCTTAGCCATTAATGTAATTCCTTTAGATAAAGATAATATATTCAAAAATATTGGGACCAAAAATGCACTTGTTTCTTGCCCACATATATATAGAGAAAGATGTATATTTTTTTATTTTGGTGTTTGTTTATTTTGGTTACATCGAATATAGATTTTCTGAACAGTTTTGATGTTGCTTATTTTTTTAATAAAATTTGTATTGTTAAACACTCTTGGGAATTATTTTATAATAAGTTGATAGAAAAGACTATAGATTGTATCATATAACAAGAAGAATTGTTTTCCCTTTACACGGAAGCCTACCTGCTTTGCCTATAGACTGAGATCTTTATCTACGAATCTTGTACTGTTTCTTTAAGCTCACTTAAAAGCTAGCTAATTTGAACTATTTTACAAGCTAGCAAAAGATGGGCTGAAGAGATGGCTCAGCCGGTAAGAACACTGACTGCTTTCAGAAGACTCAGGTTCAATTCCAAGCACCCATATGGTAGCTCACAACCATCTGCAATTTCCGTGCCAAGGAATCTTATGTCCCATTCTGGCTTTTGCACACACCAGGCACACATGTGGTACACAGATGTACATGCAGGCAATTATTTTAAAAAAGAGTTGAATTCATTGAGTTAATTTTTCATACTGATACCTGCTACCAATGTATTTCAAAATCTTTGGGATTGACTTCCTTTGAAGTAGTGACTTTGGTGATGCTCTAGACTTTTATTTCTGTACCTGACTCAAGGAATTTTATTAGTTACTACTTTTCCACTCAATTTTTAAAACATTTTGTTTTAGCAGTATTAATGAAAACCCAATTTTTAAGTTTGAAACTCATAACTTTCTTTAAATAAAACATTTCAGGCAATCAGTCCTAAGCTTGCTTATATAAGTTGGAGTTGGTAGTGAAGAGTTGTAGCTTGACATTCCCTCTTTTCCTTCGGGCGATTCGAAGTCTTTTCAATTCCATATAGCAGCCCATGACACTACATAGTGGCTTTTTCCCCAGGTGAATACAAAGAATATAATTGCTTACTTTTAGTTCATTACCTTTATTAGAAAAATAATCACTAGCTGGGTGGTGGTGGCACACACCTTTAATCCCAGCATGCAGGAGGCAGAGGAAGGTGGATCTCTGAGATCAAGGTCAGCCTGATCTACAGAGTGGGTTCTAGGACAACCAGGACTACACAGAGAAACCCTGTCTCAAAAAACCAATAATAATAATAATAATCACTAAACTATACAGACTTATTTCCTTGCCCTCCATTTTGACAACACATAGTTGGAGTTCATTGGTTTGTTCAGCAAACATTTATTGAGAACTTACTAACTGCCACTATTCTAGGTATTTCAGTTACTGAAATCACTGCCCTTGAGAAATTTGTATTTCAATAGTGGGGGACAGACAATAGAAAATAAATAAGTCCTAAATACTTCAAAATAAAGGAATAAACAAAGATTTTTTGAAAATAACTCTAACAGCTCAATAAATGTTTGTAAGAATCAATAAAAAGGATAGCTTGAAATTAAAAAGCTTCTTTGGAGCAGCAAAAGAAGCAGCCAGAGTGAAGTGACAGCCTAGAGAATGGGGACAGACATCTTTGCCAACTATATATCTAACATGGAATTAGTATATAAAATCTATCAAGAAATACGTTGTTATGTGTAGTTAATATATGCTAGTAAAACTATAAAACTACCAAACAAAAGAAATACAAACATTGAACAAATAATCCAGTCAATAAATCAAAAGACATTCTTCAAAAGAAATGGAGGGATGGTTCAGCATTTAAGAAAACTGGCTGCCCTTTCAGAGGACCGAGGTTCAATTTCTGGTACCCAAGGGCAGCTATAACCATCTACAACTAATCAGATGCCCTCTACTGGCCTCCATGGGCACTACATGCATATTGTGCACAGACATGGAAAAAAACATAAAGTAAAAATTCATCTCAACTTTAAAGAACATGGCTGTTAGGATTGCTCAGTGAGTAAAGGTCTTGCCACCAAGCCTGATAACCTGAATTTGACCCTTGGGACTCACATTGTGGAAAGAGGGATCTGGCTCCTACAAGTTGACCTCTGACCTCTACATGTGCCCTGGCATGTATACACACAAAATAAATAATGTATCTTTTCCTTCAAAGATATACAAATGGCTGATAAATACAAAAAAATATATTCAACACCCTTAACCATCAGGAAAATGCACATTTAAACTGTATTGAGATTACATCTTGCCACAGTCTATGAATGGCCATCATCATAAAGTTGTGAGGAAAGAACACTTACATACACTTACATGTAAACTCATGAAAACACTGTGGAACTCAATGAGGTTCCTCAAAAAATAAATAAAATAGAAGTGCCATATAACCCAACTGTACCTCTTTGACCTAGATACCTAAAGGACTCCAAGTAAACATACCACAGAACTATTTGTATATTTATTTATTGCAGCCAGCACTATTCACAATCGTCAAGATATGAAATACCTGATGCTCATCAACAGGTGAATTGGGGAAAAAGTGAATGACTAAAGAAAAGATAGTATATATGTACAATGGAGTTTTTGTCAGCCATCAAGATGATGGTAATTGTGTCATTTGCAGGAAAATAGGTGGGACTAGATCTTATTGTGTTGAGTCAGTCAGATTCAGACAATTATCACTTTTTCTTTCATATAACTAGTGGTGGTGGTGGTGGTCTTTGTGTGTAAAGGAAGGGGACCATGGGATGGGGAACAAGCCAGGATGATGATGGGATAGAAAAAAGAAAAAGACCATGTTTTCTCATGTGGAGCCTAGAATAAACCATTACTTTTTTCTGTGTATAGGTATTTTGCCTGCATGCATGTCTGTGCACCATGTGTATTCAGGTGTCCTTGGAGTGTCATCACCCCTGGAACTGGAGATATAGGTATTGTAAGTCACACACTGTGGGTGCTGGGAATTGAAGAACCTGGGTCCTAAGAAAGAGAATCAAGTGCTCTTTACCACTGAATCCACTCTCCAGCCCAGGCAGAATGTCTTTTATAAAGAGTTTGGATTTAGTTTTCCTTAAATTGCGTGGAACTTATTCCTAACTACACCGTGTTCCTGATCTCATAATACCTTAGTTCTCTGAACTCGATGCCTTTCTGTAGCCTTGCTCTTCTTGCTTTTGTGTTTGACCACCTTGAAGAGTTTCCTGAACAAACTTAGGGTGGCTGTTGTGTTTCTCTCCTGCTATAGCTATCACACTGTTATATATGATGGTGTGTTTAGAGAGCAGTCTTGAAATCAGCATTCTAGGGGTCAGGCTGGAGAGATGGCTCAGAGGTTAAGAGCACTGTCTGCTCTTCCAGAGATCCTGAGTTCAATTTCCAACAACCACATGGTGACTCACAACCATCTGTAAAGAGATCTGGTATGTGGAGGCCCACAAAGGTTTCCTAGTGAGATCTGAGCTTTCTTTCCCCAGCAGGGCTGCATTAGAGGATTGCGTGGTTACAAGGTGATTGGAAGGATCTACACTTGGCTAAGCTAGGGGGAGGTCTTTTGCTTCACCCCTTGGCATTCCTATAAATAGCCCTTTAGAAGAGACAGAAGGATGTGAAGCCCTGGAGAAGGGTGCCAGTGCCTGTCAGAAGGAGCCAGTGGATAATGATCCAGGCCCTCCCAAGGCTATCCTGTGTTTCTATCTGTTTCTCTCTCTTCCATCCTTCTATCTAGTACCTCTTATCCCTCTCAAGAGTACCCTGTTGTAAAATGTGAGAGCCTGTCTCCCAGCTGGGTTTCCACAAATGGCACCTGAACAGGGACAGGGGACTTGGCGAAAGGAGAGAGGGGGCATCACGAGTGAAAGGGTGTATGCCCGATAAGGAATTAAAAATAAAGGTGGTGGTATTTTATTCTTGGGAGTGAAAGTAAGGCAACTGAATGCCCAAGTTGAAAAGTGAGGTGCGACCGGGCGGCAGTGGCACACGCCTTTAATCCTAGCACTGGGGGTGGCAGAGGCAGGCGGATCTCTGTGAGTTCAAGGCCAGCCTGCTCTACAAAGAGAGTTCCAGGAAAGGCGAAAAGCAACACAGAGAAACCCTGTCTTGGAAAAAAAAAGAGAGAGAGAGAGAAAAAGTGAGATGCAGCAAATATTTCTATCTAGGCTTCTTTCTGTTTCTCTTAATTTCTATCTAAAAAAATTAAGGAAATAATATAAGGTAGAATGTAGGAATATAGTGTAAGAAAATAAAACTTAGGATAAGAAAAGCAACAAGACAGAGGAGCTATGTTCTTGGGACTCTGACCGCAAACTCCTGGGGAAGAATCCCAGTCATGAAAAAATACTATGAAAAAAAATAAAAACAACAGGCAGAAAAAGATTCCTGTGGAAGCTTGAGCCTGTGAAGATGCAGAGGTCCACAGCCAAGCACCCAGATTCCATCATAATCTACCTGATTAGATGCTATTCTAGTAGGAAAGAGTTTTTGTTTAATTTTATTACATTTATTTATTTAATCACTTATGTGTGTATGTGTATGGGTGTGTGCACGAATCTTAAAAGGTCTTAGTAATAAAATCAAACATAGACCCAGGTATTGGGGTGAATGCTGGAAGATCAGAGAAGCAGAACAAGCCACAGCTTCCTCACTTCGCCAATTTCTCAGCTGATCCTTTTCCTCAGACTGGAAGTCTCTGAGTCCTCATCCAGAATGAATCTCAGCTGAACTGCTGCTCAAAAGCCTAAAAGCTTAACCAGCTCTAGTTCCTGGTCCTCACGCCTTATGTATCTTTCTGCTTTCTGCCATCAGTTCCTGGGATTAAAGACGTGAGTCACCATGCCAGGCTGTTTTCAGGGTGGCTTTGAACTCACTGAGGTCCAGATGGATCTCTGCCTCTGGAATTCTAGGATTAAAGGCGTGTGCTACCACTGCCTAACCTCTATGTTTAATATTATGGCTGTTCTGTTCTCTGATCCCCAGATAAGTTTATTGGAGTGCACAATATATCAACCACAGGTCTGCAACATGCCATAGCTCATAAGTGGAAGTCAAAAGATATTTTTGGAAGTCTGATCTACCATGTGGATTCTGGGGATCAAACTCAGGTTTGACAATGGGCTTTGCTGGCTGAGCCATCTCACTTGCCCTGGAATGAGATATTACTGTTTAGCAAATCTTCAGAGCCTCCAAACAAAATAATTGTTAGTAAACGAGTAGGATATTTAACCAG